AGTAATTAGACTGTATCCATTAGAGCTCCACTAGCACTCGCTCATACAGCTTGGGTTTCAATTTGAGGAAGAAATGGATGTGTGAAGCTCGTTAATATATTCAGCTTTTTAATTAGCAATCAGTGCTGATTTGTCAGCCATACCAACTGTAAGGCACAAGCTATTGAAACACAGAAGAAAGGCGCATTTTCAAAATCAGTTATGCTTATATTTACATTCCCCCCAGGCTGAAATATCAGAGAAACTCCTGAAATATCATCTTTGCCATCACAGAGCAGCAGAAAGCATGTAGGAGCTTGCAGTCCTACATAGCCAATAAATTACTTGCTGTTTGGATGAAGACAGAGGTTGAATATTTATGAGAATTATCGATGCAGAGAGGTAGCTCCTATCTCCAAACAGCAACAAATAAGCACGACCATTTTTAACTGCACGTGAAAATCTCCAATAGCACAGGTAATACAGCTGATATCCCATCTCAAGTCAACCCTACCTTAAACGAGTCACAAAACAGAGGAGCAGTGGGATTGTCTGGCTGCTGGGCCTTCTCCGCCTCTAGATGGGTGAGGAGTGATGGAAAAGATCAACCTTGACCCAGCACCCATAAGGGGAACAAGAGACATGAGGTTCTCCATCAACAGCTATCCTACCTGCTCCACTGATGCTTTTCCTCTAGTCTGCGATTGCTGCATGCAGAGAAATACCTAAAAAGAGATATGTGAAAATATGGAAGCCGGACGGATCTTTGGAGTTTATTAGAGATGCGAGCCAGCTGAAGTTACCACCTGGCCCAAGCCAATGCAGCACGCACAGACCCTTGGGGTAAACTCATCAATATTACAGCTTATGCCTTTAGTATAAATATCATAACTATAATTGCTTCCACTTATGCCTCTAAAGCTCTCCCTAGGTATGGTAAACATGTAAGAATACCTCTCTGCTCTTTGTAAAAATCTTTTTTTATATCTTTAAGCACAACAGCAGAAGTCTCATTACTTTCCTCAACATTAGAGAGCAGCTCCTGCTCCACTGAGATTCTGCACTCAGTGAAGTCAGTGTTTGGATCGCCCAGTAAAGGCACTGAGACAGCTTGAACTAATTACAGGTTGCAGGTAGAGCAGTAATTGTACTAACTGCCTACATTAGGCAAACAAATGCATGGCTGCATTTGTACGGAGCTGATGGAATACTCTGTGCCAGATAGAAATTCAGCCCTAAATAGTGGTAATGTTCTTGTCTAAAAATGACTTTTGTTTGCCTAATGTCCGACAGTTAAATCTATTTCACTCACTTGTTTTCCTGGCCTTCTCATTTCTGTTTTGGCTTTTGCCACAGACAGGAAGAGAGCAGGTTTCTGACCATGTTTTAAGGTTAAGGTTTGCCTTAACCCCTCCAACATCAGCCACCTGGACCATTCAGCCAACATTTTTACCTCTCAACAGCTTTTGTGTTTTTAAAGCGCTTTCCAGAGAGCCCGTTTTGTCTCTGATGGCTGGCTTTCAGAAGTTGTAAACATCCATCTCACAGCGGAGTTTTCAGTTCCTACTTTTGAAACGGCAACTATTTTACAGCAAAATACAGGTCAAGCCGTCCTGTTGAACCCACAGCAGATCCACAAGCAGGCAGCTGTAATCTCTCCACTGCTTCTCTTTGAACAAAAACCCATAAAAGATTAATCATTTCAGTTTGTAAATGCTTTAAATGCTCGCAGGGAGGAAATGTTTGGGAGTTGTAGGTATAGGTTTTATGAATGACTGGACCTTGTAAGCCCAGGCTTGGACTAGGAGAGTTCACATGGTTCAGATAAACGACACAGGAAGAAGTGTTCAACTCCTACCCGTGTTGCTGATTTTCGCGGGCTCACAGTATCCTGCTTTTCTAGCGTCTCAATGGTAGATCCCGGAGACACTGGAGAAGCAAGGAAACAAACCACTGCTTCCTCATCTATCACCCTGTTCAAGCTCAACCTCAGGGTAAGTTACCTACCCACTCCAAGCTACTACTCACTACACACTTCACTACGCACTGCGATGTGAATAAACCTCCAAATGCTATTACCTATTTTAACTCATAACACAGGTAGGTTGACAATATGATCCAGTTTCCCCTAAATATTTAAGCGCATCCCTAAATGCCAACCTAGAAAGTTCCATGAAAACAGGCAGGTAACGTATCTAGGCCAAGAAATTTTCTTCTTAGAGCACTAGTTCCCAGAAGCCTACGGCAGCCTACACACGAGTAGGGAACCTATGAGGGGGGGGAAAAAAGGTTATGCTTTAAACAAAAATTATCTGTTGACCTCTTGTTCAGGCAATTTCTGTCTTTCTGAATGAAGAAAATCTTTTTTATGCTGAAGGTGCTGTGGGTAACTATCACAGCAAAAGCTGAATAAGAGTGATGTTAAAAGGAAACATTCCCACTGTTCCAAGGCCTGATCTTTAAAGAAGTACGGAGCTGCTCCTCATTTTGAATGCTAGAAATCTTAGCATAAAGACTTAAGAAGTTATACTTAATTCTACTGAATTAAGAACCTCTGAACTGAATTAAAGTTTAAAATCATATTCAAGAGCTTCAAATTGTCCACCACATGATCAAAGCGAGGTGCTTTACAAAAATAGGTGGCCGCTATTACTCAACAGGTCAGCCCATAGAGACTAAAGAATAAACACAGTTTTATTTAAAACCATGGTTTGGGAAGCCAGGCCCATCTAACCTTTAAAACCAAACGCCCCTCAAAAATACGTATTTACTTTAACACTATATATGCCTATATTGACAAAAGGGAGAAAAACCTCTAATTAGTAAAGCTTTATTTCTCTTGTTTCTGTTATTCTCTGTATTTCTCTAACCTAGAAAGCTCACTGCTAATTTTAATCCTGTTCTGTCAAAAGCTCAAAGTTTCTTGTATCTTTGTGACAGTTCTAAAATTAAGTCCACTCTCCACTTCGTTATCCACTTAGTCAATAGGAGCACTGAACAGACCCCCACAGAGCCCCACTCAGTATGACCACAGGGGAGGCTAATAAGATTTACCATCTGTTAGGTAGATGGATCAGCTTTTACTCACTCACTAGCAGTTCCATTGCTGCCAAACAACCTGCAAGAGTGTCATACAAGAGGGAGCCTTACGAAAAATCAGGTCACGTTATACTTCTTGTCACTAGTATCCAAAAGCTTTTTACACTGCTATAGGAAATTAGATTGAGAACAAGTCATCAAATCAACAAAACCTACGAAAATACTACTTACCAGCTTATTTTGAATGTAAATATCACTAAATATTTTCACTTTATTTCATGAAAAAACTTCTAGTCCTCTTACAGCACCAGAAAAGCAGATAAGGGCTTTCAGCACAATCCCAATATACACAAGGGCAGTTACTCCCAGCAGTTTGGGACCAAACACACCTTCAATTAATTGCTGCTAAAGCACAGCTCTTTTGGGCTATGCTCCAAAACAGTACCCAGAGATAATGAATACATTATCTGCTTTAAATCACATCATTTAATGATGACAAGGAGACACAGTTGCCATTTTATCTTAGCCCTAACTCAGCTTTCCTTGTGGAGCTGCTTTTTAATAAAGTCATCTCAAACCAAAACTAACAGGTTAAGATAAGATAATCTGAAGGGAGAAGAGTATGGAGCTGCTTAGGAGGCAGACAAACTTCCTTGATCTTCTTTTTAAGTTAACAAGCCCGGAGGAACTAGTTTCTCCATTAAGTGACAGGCAATAACTGAGGAACCTCAGGTGTCAGCCCTCTGAACCATCACATGCCCTTCATCAAGCAGCAAGACACCGCCCCGTAGCAGTAACTAGAACTTGGATCTGTTTTGAGTGCAAGTGAATTTATGATACAAGATAAATAGCAATAATTTGGAAATTACAGGGGACCAGAGAAATAATGACAGGCTCATACCATGCTATGCTTGCTTGGAGAGGTGGCACAGGCAGTGCAGTGAAGGGAGACGGCGTAGTTCAAGGTTTCAGCTTTCATTTTTTGACAGACACGTGGATTTATAACAGGCCCCGCCATAAATTACAATCCATTTTCCCCAGTACAATCCAGTGAGAACAGACTTCTTAGCAGCAGGTTTCAGCATAAGTAATTTTAGATTAAGATGAGGGGAGGGATGTTATTCCTTGACCAAGCATTTTTTTTTTTTTTTCTCTAAAAAGCAGCTAAAACTTACTTCCCCTTCTAAATGTTTAGTAGTATAAAGGTGTAGTACAGGAGTCGTCTTCAGGCAAAAAGTAGCTTTAAAGACTAAGGCCAAGGAATGTTTAATAGTGTTTAAAGCTACTTTTTGCCTGAAGAAGGCTCCTGTACTATACCTTTTATACTATAAATAACAAGCTCTGCAGCTTGGACACAGAATGGCCCACAGAAGGGCCCTTCCTCCTAGGCTCCTCCTGATTAATAAAAAAAATCTTAATTAAAAACAACACACCAGACAGCTACATAATCAACAAGTTCACTTCCTCAAAGCCTCAGTTCGGGGTTATGCACCTAGTGGGTGTTCACCAAAACAGCTCCAATCTCATTACAGCAATTTTTCTTATCCAGAAATGAGAGCAGTCTTTGCACTAGCTTCAGTTCGGATTGTTTCAGAAGAGTGAGAGCAGCAACACTTCTCCATTCACACACTGAATAAATGTAGTGTTATAGTGCAGAAGGGGTGTTGCAGCACAAGAAGAGTCACTTAAAACTTAGGCCTAAAGTGACTGCATCTGCACTTAGGCTGTGAAAGAGAGTATTAATAATTAAACAGAAGCTTAAAAAATGTTGAATAAGAGAAAAGAAACTTTGCAAGAATCCGCTTAATAGGCGAGTTTACCAGGTTCCGAAAAAAGAAAAATCCAACCATAGTTGACTTTTCAGAATAATATTTATTAAATCATTTATTTTCTACAGTCACTTGATGGTTTCTTATTGGATAAACATCAACATATATTTAAACTTAGATGTTTGCTTCAAGTGGATAAGGACAGAAAACAAACAATAAAACTCATTCTGTGGATTCATATTTTTGGGTATGTAAGACAAAGGGGAAGAGAATGATGCACATATAAAAAGAATGATGGTCAAGGGTCAGTTGTAGAAGATTTTGTCTGCTAGGTTATATACTATGAACTATAGCTAGATGACTAGCCAGAATATAGTTGTAAGCTAGAGCCCAACACATTTTATGCTCAAAAAGTGGACTCTAAATCTGTTTAGCAAAACCATAAGCAGTGTTATTTTAAACAGTTTATTTACATTGATAGGATTGGCAAAAAAAGCTATATAAAAACAGTGAACAGACAAAATATGACACAGTGGGAAGCATCACTAATTACATAGACAACATTGTGGTGGTTTAAAAAGATTCAGAAAAAAAGAAACAGAAGTTGAGAACTCCTAATACAAGCAGACAGTTAAACTGTTAATGAAATGCAGAAATATACATATTTAGATGGTTCCCGAGATGGTGTTGGTACAGAGCAGTTGAGAGGAGATGGAAAAAAACAGACTGGTGTGAATGAAGACACTCCTATCTAAGCAACTTGGGGAAAGCCTTAGTAGTGCTGCACCTAAGGTTTAGCACACCAAAACCAGGCCCTCGAGTTTCACCTCCACCGTCACCAACCATCATCTCTGGTGTTAAACAACAAATTGTTAGCTAAGTATTTGGAAGCTTCTCTTAATTATGGCTGTTTAGAGAGTGGGGACAAAAACAAAACAGAACAGACACACAAACACACACAGAGCATTATTACTTTTCCTCAGACTTCCACTGAATTGTCCTGAATCACTTTGGGTGCTCAAAGTGAGTCCTGGCTTTAAATTGACTGTTCAGATCAACCTACATAACTTACCACCGTGTTACAGTGAGACTGCAGAAGACCATTATGGAGTCAGTAAAATAAGAATCTATTTCTTTATAAACAGCTACATTTACAAAATATCTGGAATAAGCAGCTGTACAACAGGTCAACTGTCATACTTAAAAGGTCAGGTACTTCATAACACATCTCCACTGAAGACATCAACAGCTCAGGTGTTGGTTTAGATCACTCAGCCAACTGATGAAGTGAGGCAAATATAAGAGTCATCCGAAACAGTGGTGTGTTACACGATCATCATCTTCATTGCAAAATCTGACAAACTAGTTCATTGCCTAGAGGGGACATTTTTTAATGAAAGAGGACGCTTCCGTTATGCTGGTGAGAGAAAAAGATTTGTGCAAATGTCTTAAAGACAAAGTTGCCTGTTCCACTGATTAGCTGATCTGCTTCAATACAAGTAAAAACCTCTTGTGATTAACTTAGTGTTAACTAACATTTTGCTAATTATTGCTAAGTGCTAATGACTAAGGTACCATTAATGTCAGTAACAGGTCATTCGAACAGCCAGCTGCTTGTTGGTCACTACAATATGACATTGTATTTTAGAAACTGTGTCATATCAAGTGGGTTGTTGATCGGCTTAATGTGTGACTCCTTTTTTCAAAGATGGAAGGAAGGCTGACCAAGGAAGGAGAAGGAACAGCCTGTTAGGGAAAGAAACAAAGAAACAAAGAAAGAGGTTATTTGGTCATATATTCTATGTCAATAGCACAATAGTCATCCCTCATATTTGAGGCATGGTATAAGTGTATAAGGAGAGAATAGGGGCAGTTTTAAAATTAATGATTTATCATTATTGAACAGCACAGTAGAATGCTTAGACTGAAAAATTCAGTAAAGATTTTCCTTGTGATCAGTTTGAGATGCAGAATGTATTTTGGAAAACGGCTGTTAACAAAACTCTAATGCACATCTTGCATTATTTTTTGTAGTAAGTCTCCTTCCATATTTAAAGAAAGGAATGTTACTGTAATTTCCTAAGGAAATAGAGCTCCCCTTAGATCCTGCAAGTCCCTGTATTCTTACAAGATTTCAGTCCCAAATTAGATGCTGAACACATGTCTTCCTGGCAACAGAAAACAGTAGATCGTATCATAACAACCTGTCAAAAGCTTTAGTTGAGCCTATCTAGGCTAGAAAACTAGGCAAGAGGAGCACTTCTCTAATGCTAGGAGCACAGGCTGCGCCTAGGACATACAATTACAGAGAAACTAATGCATCAATATGAAGCATTAAACATTAACCTCTTGGAACCAACTCAGTTTTTATACTCATTTTACATTAGTACTTCAAGTACTTCAACAAGCAATCTTCTGTTGATTTTTATGCCACAGCCAAGCTTTTCCAAGCATCAACAAGTCATGGCAGTTATACAGCTCAGTGCACCTGCATGCTTGAAGAATCTGGTAAATAGGGATATTCTGGGCATGTTATTTTATCGTGCAGTCCAAGATCAGTTTATGACATCTCTTATTTGCAATCATTAGACAATATTTCAGTTAAATCCTAAACTTCTCTATACATAGCAGCTCTTTTACTAGACTCAAGTACTGCATAGAATTGATCCTTTTTCCTCTATAGAGAGCCCAAGACAAGACATAGGTGAAACTCATTGCTCAACGGCACCCAGCACTTGACTTTGAAGCTCTGAGCACTCAGGCCAGTGAGTTCTGCAGCTTGGACACAGAAACCACCACCATACTTGTCATATAGACAATGTCATAAGAGTTCCTAAGTCATGCAGAAGTCATATTCACTCAACCACAAACACCACCAGACCAATTATGGGTATTAAGTGCAATCCTGTGTATTAGAACAAGTCAAAGGAAAAATCCGACACCAATGATACATTGTTGATTCTATGTTTTCTCTAATGGTACTATTTTGTCTTTGTTTATGCTACTCAGACTGTTTTACGCACATGTAACCTGGACATAAATGGTCCAAATTTGGACTTGTCAGCACCAAACTGACCATCATCTCTTATCACCACAAATGGTGGTTATAACACAGGTAGGACATAACCTGTCAAAGGCAAGAGCATTTAAGCTGTCTAAACTGGAGGGGGGACTTATTTGTTTTCTCCTTTGCTTTCTACAGCACTTGGAAGACAAATATTTGCAGAGATTTGGAGAGCTCCTAGCAAAAGGATTGGAGCAGTGAACGTTAACCAGACACTCGACAGATCCATTTAGGCTACACATACAAGATGAAAAGCAATCTACAATTAGAAAGATGCGAAACAGTTGACCTAAACAAAGAATCAACCTGAACACCTAGGATCAATTGGGATTTTTGCTCTGTAGTTTTTCTACACTGAGGTGTGTGTGGGGAGGTAAACACACACCACAACTGCTGTGCCAGAAGGTTATTTAAACAGAACAATTTGTCTGAATAACAGCTTTGTCTCTCACTGGACTCAGACAGCTTTCTTGCAAGTCTAAGGCGGAATTAATTCCTCAGCTTGAGGGGCTGAAATTCAACCCTCACTTTTTCCCCACTGTTAGAAACTAATATACATGGTTATTACACTTAAGTCTTGAACCCATTGCCATTTCTTGTTTATTACACATTATAAGAGCCTGTACATAATGTACAAAACTGTAGGGTTTTTTTTTGGAAAATGTATTTCTGCTCTGACCCAATCCTAAGATTCAATCAAAAGAGACTTTATGCAAGCTCAGTAGAGTGGAACAGTAGGCGCAGAGAGAGAAAACAAAAAGAAAAAACCCACCCACAACAAAACACATACACACAGCCCCTATCAATACACACCCTGCTGCTAAGCTATAGGGGGTCCTCTAGGAAGAATTTGTGAAACTTAATGGAAAAAACAGTCTTTACTACCATCTCCAAGTACCCATCATTACAGGGGGTGGGAAGGAAGGTAAGGCTGACATTTTCCCGAAATACAGAGCCAGTGCTGTATCCACGTGAAGACAAAATAGTGTGGGTCAAAAAAAAATTAAATAAGAATTGCTGGGTTAACTTCAATCAAAGAAAGAAAATCTCAAGACAGAACTGGGTTATAACCACTCAGCGTCTTTGTTCCTCTCTCCCTGCCCCTTTAAAGCCAGGGGATCTATTGTGATACTTCTCTCCCCCTCTTATTAATTCATGCCCCTGCATGCCTACCTCAAGTGGGAGATCAGGGCAGTATCTTTATGCTGTACAAATCTAATAAATAGCAACTCAAGCACACCAAATCATCTCTGTATTAAGCTACTGACATGTTAGGCAGTTAAAGAAAAACACACAGGGCAAAGGCCCGAGAGCAAGATGTCCTACAAACTCAGGCTTAAGAATGTTTACTCAGCATACTGTTTACTCAAATACTAGGAGTGAAAGGAAAGACAATTAAAAAAAATCCCTACAGATCTAGTTGCTATACGAGGCTGCACTAGGAAATGGCAAAGAGTAGCTGCAGTGAGTAGCATGGTACAGGATAAAGATTGCAGTATGTAGAAATTTTTTTTTTTTTTTTTTACTACATTTTCTTAAATTCATATAGAGGATAATTCACTTGCAGTTTAAGATTCTCCTCAAAATATTTTTAAGAATATTTTCCACCCTTTCTTCACAGTTTGTTCAGTGTCATCTCACTACTTTCACTGATATTTCCACCATACTATTCTGAGTTTGTACAGCACATTTGTGTACATTGCCTTAAGATTTGTAAGGCTGCATGTTGGGAACTTCTCACCTGCTCAGAAGAGGATATATCTGACAAGCTTCCAACTCCACTGTACTAGGTAACTCCTGTTTTCTAGTATTTAACAGATTTTTCCGAATTTTCAGCATGTTAAACATTCCCTCATTGAAAGATGCTGCTCAAAGCAACACATCTATGAATATAGCTAAAAAATTCACAGTGGCTCTTAAGACTGATAGAAGATGATTTGCATCAGGCATTAAAAAAACCTGTGATCTCGAGGTTACTTACTCAGCCTGCACAGCCAATCACTTACCGCTAGGGACGATGTACTAGGCAGGCGACTGCCTATAAAACTCTCATTAGTTGAGCAGGGGCTTCGTCCTTCTATGGTGCTGTGTGTCATTAAAGCCCTTCGAAGAGCCCTTTTTGGTGTTTTGGTGAAAGAAAATGCCCTTGTAACCTGAGAAGTTTGACAAGTATTGTCATACATTGACAAAAAATATATACACCAAAAAACCCCACATTATACACACACAACCCACAAACCACTTTAATTACCACATTAGATGACCGTCCAAGTATTTAATGTTTGCAGAACAGGACCTGAGTCAGAAACACATAGCCCCTCTTCCTTAATTTGACCATATCGAGAATAAAATCATAATCCCTTGCAGGTTAACTTGAAGGCTCCCCTTCGCTCTCTGCACATTTCACTTCCCAAATAAAGATGTTTGGAAAAATAACACTCTGAAAAATCAAAATGCGACTGAGTTTTTCAAAGTCACATCCCTCCCACTAGACTGCTCTCAGTTCTGCCTCCTGCAGCTTCCAGACTATAGCAGCCTCTACAGTTTTCTCTAGGAAACAGTAACATCATTTCTAACATAGTGAGCCTTCTGGAAAGCTGCCAAGGATGGGGAGCAGATTCCTTCCTTGCTATGTCATACTCAGTCACCACACATCCATAATCCTTTGTGGAACCTGACACAGCACAGACAAGGTGACAGAGCAGAGAGGGAACCTTCTTCCCATAGCCCCACACAGACCCTTCCTGCAGCACAGGGTACACTCATCTGGTCTTGAATATCTGATCAATGAAGCCCCATCGAAAAGAGCATTTATTTCTGCAGCTAGAGACCAACTTTCAGCATTTTCTTCACAACATGGTATAAGTGTATTTTATTACCCAGGTCATATACCATCTACATCAGTCTTTGAAGATATTTAGAATTAGATCATTGTGTCTAGTGTTCGGATTTTAATTCATTCAATATGCAGTCAGTTTTATATTTAACGTCTCAAAATATTAAACTGAAAATAAATTTTGTAACAGGTTGAAACAGCTATAGATTACTTATGACCATAATACTCAGGCTTATATGTATATACTCCAAAACTACTCAGTCAAAACCCTAAACACACCCCCTATTTCTTTAAGGAGCTTATACTTGGAGTTTTAGCTCAGATTAAGTTTTTTTTGTCACTACCATAAGTCCTAGGCCTGGAACAGGAACACTAGCACAGTTTTGACTACAGCAGGTTTTACTGAGAAACACAGTCTTTGGAGTATCTTACCTTTTTTGATGTTTTCTTTATTGCTCTGGATGCTCTGCTTAGTGTACTGTCCATATCTTTAGTATTTACTTCAATTGAATCAGGATCAACCGTATAAATGAGATTTTCCTGTAGACAGAGATCACCTTAATAATCATCAACAATAATACCAGCTATTGTCAAAATACCATTCTCTAGCTCATTAGCTCAAATTGAGAGGCTCTTAATTGTCATATTCCTCCCTTGTTAACTCCCAGTATACAGTTAAGCAGCTATTTGCTTTCATGCCATCTCACAAGATAAGCTACTGCTGCAGTCAGTTTATGGAAACACTTCATCCATCAGTTTTACGTTTTGTTTGACTCAGTTTCAAATGCAGCGTTGACCAAAATAAAGGTAATAGCTCTGAAGTGTGCCTGAGGGGGTTTCATAACATACATATCCCTTTACCCCTCTAGCACACTTTTGACCCTTTCAAAATGAAATCTTGATAGCAGCAGCTATCAAATATTATGACGAAAACTTTCAGGTTAATATCAGCAGATGTTTCAGAATACCCACAAGATTTTCATGCCTTGCCCTTAAACTCTAGCACGTGCAAGGTAATCTCTGGCCAGCTGTTTACAAGAAAGGAGGGAGAAGAGGGAAAACAGAGGAAGCAATGGGGATAGGAGGCTGCTGGGGGCATTTTTTTTATTATGGTTTATTTTAAGAAAGGATAGTTCACCCTAAAAATTGTTTTGAAATCATATGCCAACGAGAGAGCAAGTTCTATGTAGGTTCTTCCTAGCACGGAACAAAGCAGCAGAGTCAAAGCCTTTACTGCCACCATGCGGCAGTCAATCTCTCCGGTTCTTTCAAGGCAACAGAATAAGTGAAACATCCCTGAACTGGGAAGCAGAGCGGGGCCTGCTCTAACTGAAGTTTAATTTAACCTTTAAATCAGTAGGGAAGAAGCATGATCTAGTTGTTACAAATGGGCAGCTACAGAAATTGTAGTTAGAAGGATTTGGCATAGCATGTTATGATTCGTCAGCATGTGATTTAGAATGTGCTGTGGCAAGAGGGAATAGAAACAGATTTACCTACAACACAGATTTTTTTTTATTACATTTACGTATGTTTCTAATAGAGATCAGCTTAATCAGAAGTTTCCACTATGCTCTGTTATACTTATTTAAACAGAGTGACAGAAAACAGGTGAGCAAGTCAGACTGAAGTAAATTAACACTTCTGTATCAATATTTTTCCTCCTTCATATTTAAAAAGCTAAGGAAGAGGAAAAGATCAAGTCTCTTAATCATGAGTTCCTAGATGAGACCTAAAAGTAAAGGCAAAATGCTATTTTAATATCCTAACTAGCTTTCTTGAAAAGAGAGTATGTTTAAAAATCTGAGAACCAAATACTGTACAGTAAGACTATAGAGTGTAACAAAGCATTTCTCAAATACAAGTTGTTTCAGCTGCATTTGCTGCACTTATGTTACATATCAGTCATCTAAATTTGCAAATTCAGAGACTATTAAAATATTAACATCTCCTGACCTCAATGGAGAAGGTCTACACTTCAGATATGGCAGCGGACTGCAGACAGGCTGCACAAAGTACATACGCAACTTCTAAAATGTGTTGAGGTCAGTACCTCCTTTATTTCCTTTTCTAAGGGAACAGTCCCTATTTATAAGAGATGTTTCATGTCTCAATCTAGTGCGCCTTGCCACGTAAGGTGTAAAACGGTTTCAACTAATACAAAGAGAGATAAATCAAAATACGTCAGTCTTAATGGTGGAATAACAAGGCACAACAAGGGTGCAAGAGGAAAGATGAATGCACTTTTGTTTAGATCTGCTCTACTAAAGATCTGCAGTGCAGAGCTCGAATTATAAATAAGCTTGTTCATGGTAAGAGAGGGTGTGATTCTTGAAGTCACTTTAGTGCTTATTAGCTTCTGCAGAATCTAACATGCAATCTGCCCCTATTCAACTTTACCTACTCAGTTGCAGTCATGCTAGAGTCGATGCAGTCAAGTACTTTCTGCTCTACTTCTGCTCTATTTCTGTAGCATGCCTGCTATTAACAAGTTTAACTTCCTGTATTCAAAACATTTTCAATCAATGATATGATTCTAGAGCACTTACTGCATCTGTTTTACAAATTGTGTTAGCCACATGCCGACACAGCATCTTCAACCAGTCTTCTTTAGGAGGTTCTTCAGTTGTCATCTGGAAACTGAGTAGTTTGTTGTTCTGCTCTGTAGGTGGCCGCACAACTAAGGCGAAAGCTTTGTGGCAATCTGGAGTTTAAAAAAAAAAGGTAAGTAATAAAAGTAAAAAAAAAAACAGATTTCATACAAGCCTAGAAATCCAAATCTTTGGAAGAGTTAACCCTTTATCTGCCCGTTACTAGACGGGGGCAAAATCTGCTTTATTTGCACAAGAGCAATACTGTCAGTGATACAACAGCCACGTGTTCTGTCTACATCCTAGTTTCAAGAGGCTGTCATCACCTGTTTGGACAACTTTAATCACCAAATAGTTGGCACGCTATAATTGACAGACTAGTCAATTGTACTGGGTGCAACAGAAAATCAGACTGAAAATGAGATTGACATTCACTAACTCGTGAAATACCATATAGATTATTTCTTTACCGACAGAGTAAGGTGAACAACATTTACAATGAAATCATTGTAACTTGAGTAGTTCAGAATGTCATTATTAATACTGAATTCTTCATTTTTTCCTGTCTTGACAAAATTGGTAAAAATCTGACAGATGTTGCTCACTTGATAGCAAAAAATTAATCCACTGCTGACACTCCTCTAAAACAGATATAGCTGAAGAGTGCTAAACACAGTCAAGAAAGAACTCAGATTGCTAGAGCTCTTCTCCAGCTCAGAAAAGATACATCAGAAGAACAATGAAGAACAATAAAAGAGAGAGTAGCTGATCTCTCCCCAGATTTTAGTGTACAGTGCTCATCACAATCAGTAACTGATGTTCTGCAACTGGGTTCCCCCTCACACAAGCCTCAAAGCAAAATTAAATACTGTACTGTAACAAAAACAAAACAAAACATACTTCACACACATAAAACACAATACAACTACACCTCAGCATTCTCTCCCATGGCAGCAAGTCTTCATCCTGCATCCTCTAAACCAGTTTTCAGTAGCTATCCAGGTACTTAAACATACAAACCTTCTGTTTCCCTGATGTCTAGCACCTTCTTGATCTGGGAGAGAGGCATGAGAACAACATGCTTGAGACATGCAGGAGGCCTGGTGTGACCATGGGGACTCTTGAAAGCACCAATAACTTTATGCCGTTTCCTTGCAACCTGCAGGCAAGCAGAAAATAATAATAGGTTAAAGAGAGGCATATTTCTAATGCCTTGTTTTCCCTTCTATCTGTTTTCTTGTATGTGGGAAAAATATTCTGAAGAGGTTACAATTATCCTATCACATAAGCCTTCATGGAGTTCACTTGTATCACCATTCACTAAGCCTTCAGGTAGCCCAACAGTACTTCCTACTTAGCATTAATACTCTCACCTCTGGAAAGAGTCAGAGGCAGAGCAATTTGCATCATAAACCTTAGTTCTGCCCTACAGAACAAGGAAATCCTTTTATAAGGCATCCTACATTTAAACAGACAAGAAGAACGTCTACGTACATGAACCAGTTTAGGATGTGTTGTGTCCCAAAAGAACCACTTGCTGCTGCTCGTGCATATAGTCCTTTTATTAAGGAAAACAGCATGTGTTTTTCTGTGCAGGAATTACTTCAGGCTTTAACAAAACCAATATTTTTTTAAACAAAAGATGTACCAGCAGAAGCACAGTAATCCTATTCAGGAAGGATATGTGACAGTTGCATAACCTACAGCAGAGAGCATGATGTTCCAGAGAAATTCTGAACAAGCATCAAGAGATGACAACCCTAGGCTTGCTGAAAGATAAGCACAGGATGAAGTTGAGCCAATTCTCAGAGCAAACCCGCCCTGAGTTTTTCTTTTTTTTTTTTTGTTACATACAAAATAGCTAATTTTAAAAAATATTATTTGAACAGTATGCTGCAACAGCAAATGAAACTTTTTTTTTTTAATATAATGGCATTGTAATCTTAGAATTCTCTCCTTCAAGTTAGTTACTATCTCAGACCTCTGCAACAGGGAAGACTGGAACAATCACACCCAGGCATAATGCCATGTTTGTATCAAATTGTGTGGCTTTTACTTAATTATTTATTTCTGGGTTTTTGTTGTTGCTGCTGTTGTTGATCGCACTCATATTTGGGTATTTTACATTTAAGTACAAATAAACCTTAAAAGGACTAACATGCTACAGAGGCAGAGGGGTCCAACATACATTTATCCACTGGTAGCATTGAAAGTGTAATTCAGATAAGCAGTTTAACATTTTGAGAATAATCTACTCTAAACAGAGCAAGAAAGTATAAAGATACATAGAGTACACATATCTGTGGTACATATCTACGTATCTATAGAAAGAACTGTTCAGAGGAGGGTGCACACAAGCACACTGTGCAGAAACATTACTCTTGCATTTATCTAGAGAAGAGTTTAGTAGCCATAAAGACAAGCATCAGTCATCTATGTTGCCAACATATTAGAATTACTAGACTTATTTCCAGGAAGCAATATTAATTCTATTTCCTAGAGAGGAATGCCTTTCATTGCCTTTCAATATTAATTTCTTGATCCTGCTGCAAGACAACCACAGAGAACTGACTAGCTCCTCATGTTGCCTTATACAATGTAAAAGTAACATCAGCATGCATTGCCCTGACTTAATTACACTTCACAAGGCTTCTAGCTTTCACTTGTTTATAGTGCTTAGCATCAAGCATTTTGTAATTCAATTTACAAGATGTACTTACATAATAATCTTACCTCTAGACAATCATTAAACAGGAAGAGTGTGACCTGCTCTCCCTTGTCACAGAGGTCATCGCCAAGTGCAACCGTTTCCAAACGCTGAACTAAGCTTCGGTGAGAGGACAGGAGATTGGCCTATAAGATAGAAGCAAAGAGCTCATTAAGCATTTGATTCAAGGGCTGGATTATCACTTGCAATTTAACACTGGAATCTGTTTACACACTACCACTGCATTTTAACCTAGGTACTTCCACAAAGGGAACAAACGGCTGCTTATTTATTTTTACAGGTCTGCAGCTTCAGAGAATTTACTTACTGGACATCCATCAACTTCATAGACAACATCAAAGATCTGCCTTTGTGCTTCTGTTTTCCTTTTGTCTTCATTAATGTGTCTGAAGGAAACATATTATTTATTTTTACTATCAAGCACGACTAATGAATACACCGTACTCAGGATACATAAAATAATGAAGTTAAGCATTAAGAAATACAGTTCTTATAGCAATAATAGAAAACGCAAAAATCAAACACACTTGATCATTTAGAAAGAAATGCTCAACCACTATATGCTAAGTATATAGGAAACTTTAGATCTAGAACAACTCTTGTGCATGATATCAGTAGCTTACATGATCTGGTAGATTATGTGTTTTTAATAATAAAAAATATGATTATGACCTTGGTACCAGTTCAACATAGCTCTGGATATCACGTATTTTTCCCCAAGCCAGGGCTACAGCTCACAGAACTCAAGGAACAAGTGCAAGTGTAACTGCTATACAGAAAAGTTTTGCTAAAATTAAACAACCATTTGCCAAATAACAAAGGGTGTCTCACTGATGTAAGCATACAGACACTTCAAAAGAAGCAAGATTTATCTAATTAGCTTAAGACTGAAGCTATTCTACTATTTAACTGGTGGATTGATGCCAGGAGTAGCTAAGATAGAAAACACACACACACACACAAAAATTTTCTACCAGTAGTGCATCCTTTAAATCTTGAGGTATATGCATGTTTCCACTGAATGAAAACATTTCTTCCACTACAGACGGAACATGTAGAAATAGAAGGGTTGGGACAGAGCAGAGAAAACTCAAAAATTCAACATTCCACTGAGGCAAGGACTGAGCAGTTGCTCAGGTAGAGGTATTAAGCAAGAAAGTCACAGACTCCTCTCGAAAGTTCTGGTACAGAATGAGCATTAACAGCAGCAAAAGGAAGACCATCTGACAAAGCAGAGACACAGCTTAAACTTTTCATATTCTGTTTCCCCTTCACCCACTCTTCTGCAACAAGAACAGGCAGCATACTCTGAAGAACACATGCTATTATGTATACTTTCACGCAGACTAAGTATACAGCAACAATATGCTCCAAGTTTAAGCAATACAGAAAAAACTATACACATGGTAGTATGTTTCTTAGAATATCACTTACGTCATCACTTCCTTTAATGATTCAATAGCTCTCTCTAGAGTTACTTTGTCTGGGTTTTCTTCTGCTGTATGCTTCTTAAGATCTACAGTTTAAAAAAAGAATAGTTTAAGTTTCCAGGACCTTTAAAACTAATGGTCTTGAGAATATAGAGAAGTAAGAAATAGGAAGGCAGTTTGCTTTGAAGTTAACACAATTTCAGCACTATTAACACTCAACATCAGACTTGTTTTAGGGAGGAAAAGCTATTCCTAATTATGACAAAAGCAGCCATTTGATTAGTTTTAACATCTTCATAGAGATACTAATACAAAAAATACACAGTATCATTAGATTACCATTTAGAAGCAGAGCAACACTAGGCAGTCTCTGAACAGGACGGATAAGGAGTTCAGCTAAGCTTTGACGGCCACATTCTGGCTTAGCTTGATTTATCTGTGGGAGAAGAGAAAGGAAATAATTCTCTAATATAATTGTTTTCCTTCAAACTAGCATTATGCTAAAAAAATGTGTGGAATTGTCAACGCAAATGTTCCTGATGCACTGTCACTTAACAGATCACATTAAAAAAACATGTTCTATTCAAACCTACACGGCATTTTTGGTATTTATCCCTTTTGTGCTTTTGGAATACCTATTTTTAAACTATCTTCCCCTTGCAGTCCCTACTCCAGAGGCTGATGCTACAGTTTGCATTTGGGGCTCACTCTCATTTGCTTCCCTACATAAATATTTATAACTAAAAAGATGGGATCTCCTATGCCTCCAAAAAAAGACATAAAATTTGCCAGTTTGATAATCCCATTATTTGGGAGAGATTTGTCAGATACAAGAGAGTATTTAAAGTCATACTGCCATATTTATGAGCTATACACATTTGTAGGAGAGCACCATCTTTTTTCCCCCTAGATCTCCCATTTTATACTCCTATTCATTAGTGACAAGAATGTTGAGAAATTTTAAATTCTGAAACTTGACAGCTGATGCCAGTATTTCTTAAAGAAATTTAACTTACAAGTCTTTAAAGCATATGAAGGGGGAACAAGAAAAGCATCTCTACTTATCTTTAGAGATAAAGTACACATATTTGAGAGTATAATCAGAAACTTTTCCATTCATAAATTCATATAATTAAACTAGTTTAGAAGATGGGGAAGGGAGGAAACACTTTTGCTGACACTTACCTTTAAGAAGGCATGAAATCTTGGCTTCTGTTTTTCACATCTTGTAATAGTTTCCTTGCTCATTTCAAAGAAATTCACAAATGGAGGGTATGTTTTCAACAAGTCTTTTGACTGAAAGATAAACCAGTGTTAAGACTCTGCTTTACATACATGCTATCATGTAGCACTGTACATATACTCATATGACCAAAGCTACTCGGGCAAAGCATAATAAAAAAAAGCAATAAACACAAGCTTAGAACCAAAGTTAGATATTTTTGCATGCCAGATGCCCAAGATTTTATGCTGTTGATTAAATAGAGACGGCTCTGAAAAAAAGGTCAAGTACTTATGATGTGACAAAGATTGCTCAGCACCTCTTAAGGAAGAGGCAGATCATCACCTAGCAAGGTATTTTGACAAGATTTTTTGGAAATTGCATATTTTCCCTATGGCATGCTATCATTTTTAAAACATTATAGACCATCCCAAGCAGTGCAGAAGATCAAGAACTTCTGAAATTGAAGCACTGTTTGCCCAATATGATCAAGTCTGTGAAAAGACAAGATGTCCAGCAGACATATCCAAAAATGCATTACAGTGCCAGATCTAGTGTCCCTGTTCTGCACACTCTGTACTGTGGAAAACAAAGAGCCTTTATGCACATTTATGTTTCAACACTAGAAAGAAGAATGAAAGACATTCCTGTGAAACTCCAAGTTCTTTACCACTCATCAGAAGCAAAAAATTGATAAGGTTCTACATCTATTAGAAGGTATACACATTTCAGCTTGATTGTGTAAGCTTGGATTACCTTTAAGATAGCTGTAAATTGGAGGATACAGTTAATAATTCTAAACAGAAAATACCCTGAGATAGACTAATACTCTTCTTTCTTATTCAGTAGTACTTTAATTGGGTTTGCCAGATCAAATACAAAGAGTTTACTTCAGACAGTAGTTTGTAATAGAGCTATAAAGTAAGAAGCAGAAACTTACATATTTAAGAATGATATCACCAATACTTCTGCTTTCAGTCCAATTTATCATAAGATCTTCCAGGTCTTCCTAAAATATACACAGCAGTAGGGTAAGAAAATGAGCCATCCAACCATAGCAGCCATCACAAGCCTCTGTAGATAACATTTATGTACTACGGGATAGCCAACTCTGTCACAAGACACTGCCAATGTGTCCATTAAACTACTGAACACATCCCAAGTGGAATTCAAAAGAAGTATAGGCAGAGTTGAATTAATTGCAATCAGAAAACTGCAAAACTAGTATAGGATTTCAAGTCCAAAACAGAATATAGGATTGAAGCAGAACCAACATTTCCTCACCTCCTGTACCAGGGTGTCAAGGAAAGTGAGATCAAGCTGTTAAGCTTGTATCAGCTTGATAAGGATAAAGCTTATTCACTGTCAGCTTATAGGAGGGCCACAAAGGCACAACCAAAGTTCAGGATTCACCGTAAGGGAAGGAGATCCATCATTAACATTGGTTTGTTTCCACCATCTATCCTCTTAGCATCATCACATTGAAGAGGAGGGATAACAAACCACCACATCCAAACAACTTTGTCTACCCTGTAGAGCATGTCAGTTGTCCCACAACCAAACACACTCTTCTTTGCTCTCCTTGACTCTGTGGGTACCTAAATGATTAACTAGACACATCCCTGAGAATTAAACACACACAACCTCTCCTCACACACACCACACAATAAGTTGAAAGCGTCAGTCCACAACCCCCTTTATTTTAAGGACCTACTGTTAAATGTAGACAAGAACTGATATAAGCCAATATTCACAGAGATTTTATGGCTTCATATTTGATGAACATGCAACATAACCTGCTAAGAGACCTAGTGAGGGTTTTTGTAGCAGAGAGCTTACATTCAAACCAAAACATATTAAAAGAAGGAATGTTATGAGAAATTAGAAATACAGCCTGATACAGAATTTTAGTCAGCACTTAAGGAGGATTCTGTACCAGGTCATCTTAAGAGGCAGAAATCTAAGGCAGTTTTAAGGAGCTGGTTATTTTGAAAGCTGGCTCAAGGGTCTTCAAAGAAAGGGTAAAGTTTTTTCATAGTAGGTGATAAAAGGCAATTTTCTTTAACATAAAGCACCTTACAAGAACATGTCTAGAGCCCCTCCTCCAAAAAAAAAACAAAACAAATAAATGTCCCCCACATACACTTTTTAAATTCCATCTTGCAAACATGACTTAAAGCATGCAGATAATCTCAGCCAGTGTCAGACTTCCTCTATAGAGGAGTTACAGAAAAAGTTTACCTTGATTTTAATATGCACATCAAGAATATCTGGTATGCTGCCAAATATGGTCTTGATCTCTTCCTGTGCAAGGATTGGTCCTCCAAGTTGTCCTTCCTTTTCCAGCGGTACTTGAAACAACTGATGGATTAGAGAATAGATGGGTGAAAAAAAAAAAATGAGATAGGTATTTACTAGTTTCTCTTCTCTCCCACCCTCCCCTTAGTGGGTTCAAAGTAGCTGTGAAAGCAGTGTTTTTTCCTGCAAATCACACTTTTCTGCATAATCTTGAGGCATTCTGCACCGTCAGAGCAAGACTGTTAACAGGAGGGGTTTTAAGATACAAGCACTCTGTTACTCCAGCATAACCTCTTTTCATCTCTTTTTCTACTCAGACACATCAAAACTCATACTCTAGATCAGCTCCAGTGCAAATGAGTTCATGTTTAAAGCTGGAGTTATTCATCTAAGCTTTTTGCTATTTTGATCTTCGAGTAATTTTTTTAAACATGAGGATACTATTTTCTTGAAGTTTGGTATTTCCATATCAACTACAAGTCCCACTGTATAAATTCAGCTTTTATGATTTAGTAAACACTTTTAACATACCATTTTACTGACAAGACTTACTCTCACTATAGTCTTTTACAGACCTTTGAAACACCCAGCCTCTCAAAAAACAGATGATCATAGGTTGGGAAGAGATCACAGGTGAGGGAAGGAATAAAAATACCCACTGATCTAAAACACTAGAGAGTCTGTACTTGTAACAAGACATATCTGCTTTAAAACCAGCTTACCTCAATGATTGTTGTTAGAATATCAACGTAGTTACTTTCTGTCTGATACAATTCCTTCGCAACCTGCCATCTTGCAGACTGCTTCAATGGCAGAGGTGTTGAGTTTTTAGAAGGCCTTGCGCAGGATTTTGGTGTTTCTTAAGAGGAGATATAGCAAAAAGAACACATCTCTCTTACAATATAATCCCTATAAAGCTCATTAAAGACAGAAACCTTCGAAGTTCTCAGGGAAAGATATCTTCTTTATTAAAGCTATTCTATAGGTTACTCTGCAGATAACAGCAGTCTTTAGAGAATTACCTTATTAAAGCCCTATTGTAGAATTGCAACAATAGTACATTATTCTTCAAAATTAATCTTAAATTGGGAGACCATATTTTGTTCATGCCATGACTTAACCTTCTCTTACAGGGTTAAAGGGTTAGATGCTGAACATTATTTGTACATATATTACATTTGCCCTGTAAGCAATTATCCTTCATCTGTCACTCCCCTTGTACTAAGTATGTAGCTGAAAGTCATTTGTTATAATTCATCTTTCCTTTCAAATTTACAGTCTTTGATCCTATTAGGAAAAATAGACACAAGCCATTTTCTTAGAGCTAAAGCTGATGACAATCTGGGACACTCTGTCAGTTTTTAATATTTATAGGTGTATTTGATAGCAGAGAACATTGAAGGAAGTTCACTACTATTACTGTTAGTCTGAAATAAGTACCTTACCTGTTGTTATCAAAATAGCAATCTTTCTGAAACTGCCTGCTGATATTGGATTAGCAGAAACTTCTGTGTCAGGAGACACAAGAGTATTAGCATTATCCTTAGATAACGCTAGTTATAATGCTGGTCTCTGAGAACAGGCTGATCCTTACTGCATTCCTTCTGAATCACCGCTTACAGACTGTGCCTCATCAAGATTATTTATTTGAGCTGTGTAGTTTTCGACCAGCAGCAACTCTCAGTACCTCCTCTGTATGATGGAACTGGGATTTGTTTTTAAACTCAGGTGCTAGCTTTTGACTAATCCGTGATCTTGCAGATCTCTCCTTCCACAAGGACCACGCACAGAAACATTAAAAATTCTTTGCCAATTAAACAAAACAAGATGTTGATTTATATTCTTGTGAAGTTTTAAACATAACACAGTCTGGCATAAATAGTGTTACCTTAACAGAACATTTCAAAAGTTCAGGAGTGAGCTTTGCAGGAATTTTCTCTTTAGCTCCTTTAGAAAAGGATCCTTTGTTCTCCTTTCTCCAAGTATCTTAACTAGCATGGATTTTGGATGGCTTAACTGTTAGCTACACTGCTTTTGTGCTGCCAATATTCAGGAGAGTATTCCAAGCACTTTCAAGTAACACTGTCCTATGCTTTCTACTTATTAATTGCAAATCACTTCCTTGTTCTCCCTCAGATTCCAGCATGCTTGTTACAAGGACAGGAAGCAGCATGGCTTCTGTCAGTGACCAAACTCCTCACTCACTCTTATTCTGCTTTCTGTAAACTTTGAAGAGGAAAGAGGCCTGGAATTACTCAGAAAACCTGTAGCAGAACCTCTTCGACTTCCCCCACCACTATCACTATGACTTGTACGATTTGCAGCAAGTTCTTCATTATTGCAAGTTTCTGAATGAAAGTTTTAGCTCTACCTCCATTGGTAGTGCTTGACTCTGGAGTGTTAGAAATATCCAGCAAGGACCCAATAGAGAGCGAATGTTCAGCTGAGGGCCGTTTCCGAGGCGGGAACGGTGACATATCAGTTTCTCTGGTCAGCTGGGCAAGTGTCTCTTTCAAGCGCCTTCTTTTACGGTTGCTGTTTGGAGTATTCAGAGAAAGTAGCGACACAGACTTTTTAAGGCCTGGACTCTCTGACTGTAATAAAAGTAGAAAAAATACATTAAAAAAATTTATGTAGTATTGTCCACAGTTGCTCTGGCAAGAGCAGACAGACAGGCTATTTACATTCTTCAAAATTAGCATGTTAGTTGTAAAATTTATCATGGCTTATCTGGAATTTAAATGTTGTTTTAAGAAGTTAAATCTCTGACTCCTATTGCAAATGCTGATTTTACATACTACCTGAGGGAGCTCTACATACCTTTTCAAATAAATACATGGACTCTCCAGCTCTGGCATCCATTTGAATGCTTCCCCAGAACCACTGAAGAAGGAATAAGACAAACCCAACATATGATAGGGGTTCATATGAAATTAAGAATATTCAAAATAATGCATTTAAATTAAAATAGCTTGTATATCCATATGCAAATATGTGGCTTATTCAAAAAGGTAAATTAGTCTCACATATTGGTTAGTATATGAAAATATTCTTTAAGAAATTTATTAGTACTTACCTCTTGCTTTACAACATAAAGACTTTTTAAAGGCTCAAATGGAAGGTCTTTTACTGTATTTTCTTCAACCACTAGGTGTGTGCACCTGTCATCACCAACTGGCAAGTGATGTCCTCCTAGATAAAGGAAATAAGATGAACTGGTAGAACTTTAGATTACATTTAGAAATCAGTAGCTTACTTAATAGTTCTGTGACAGCTAGTATTAGGAGAAGAACCACCAAAGACAGATAAACTCTTCAGTGCAACAATCAGCTGCTGAGCTTACATTACACCCCTGCTCATAAAAGCTGTCTAATGCCAGAGTTAAGTTGGACAAAGCATGAAACAGTGAGGTAGACATCGAAAAGCCAAGAGAATCTGGAGTTTCAGAGGGCTTTAAGATATCTTTACTGGTAAATGCTGAATTTGTCTGAAAAGTTTTTCTTGTTTCTTAGAAGAGCAAGCCAGGAACAGTCACTCTAAGTCCACAAACCAGACACATACAAACTGCATACATTACAAGTTTATAAAAAGCTTTAGGTAAATGAGGTCAGGAAGAAGAGCAAAGCCAATCAACTTCCATCTGTTCTGAGGAAGTCCTACCATTATAAGCTTGCATTATTCCTATTCCTGTAGTCCGGCTGGTGGTACTTAAAAATAGGGAATTGGACACTGATCTGTTGGGTCTCTACTGTCAATAAGATTCTTTGCACTAGCACTACCAAAATAAGAAAGTCTTTTCAGACTCGCCTACTCATGATGCCTTATATCAAGATTAAAACATTGCATAATTCACAGAAAGCATGTACGAAGCCATTTGACATTAAACTGATTAAAATTTAAGCAGAAAGCGTAGCACGCAGCATATTTTTCAGGATAACTTCAAAAATCCTTAAATCTCATCTTTTTAAAATTGTACGGTTCCATCCACACCTGAAGTTCTAAGTATTTAGTATTTACAGGAACTTATGTTCACACAAACTTTAAGGATTGACAATCCACCATTTTATCATTTTAGTCAATAAATTATTTGTACTAGTGAAATATTTATCATATATAAATGCCCCTTTTTCTACATGCTAACTTAGATAAACAACCACCTTGCATTTCTGTCATTTCCTCCATGTTAGCTTTCTCTTCATCAGAGAATCCAAGGAAACTTAACATGCAGTCCTGAAAAGGAGGAACCTTGAATTGATTTCGAAAGTCATCATCAGCTGCACAGAAATCACTGAAAAGAGATGACAAGAGAGTCACTAAAATAGTAGTATGTCACTATTTAAGTTTACACACCACTAATAAACAGTGTGTTAGTTTGGGGGAAGGAGGGAGCAGACACTTACATTTCATTTCTTTTCTCCCAAGCTTTATAAATCCACTCAGCTTTCATGATTGGAGTACCCAGACTCACAGCAATCTACAAAACAGGGAAGTACAAGCTGTAACAAGTGAAATGTCCATTTAAATCTTCCCAATATCAAGAAAAATATGGGAAGAAAGAAGAACACATTAAGTTAACATTTTCTGTCAGCAGAAAGGAATGTTTGAACAGAAAATAGGTCTCCCTCCTTCAATCAGAGGATTAGAAAGACAAACCAAGGGGGAAAAAAGCAACAGCTGACTGACAATTCAAACAAGAGGGCAAGTCAAGAGAGGTTGCTGTTAGTGTGGAAAAAACAGTAATTTGTAGACTTAGTCTAAAAATTAGACGTCAGTTTTTAAGAGCTGAATTCTAAAAGTTTTCAAGTACCAACTCAAGCTTACATACTCTGAATTTGTCTCCTGACGTTGTGTTAGCCACCAGATGTGTAACCTTTGAGCTAAAGTCTCTTCGAATAATTCCACCCATATGATGAACCAAGGTCACTAGTTTAATCTGAAAATTAAAAGGTGAAAATTTCAGTACACCTTTTGAATATGGTACAGAATAAGAGAGATATAAGCATGATTTACAGTGTCACTTGAAGGAGGTTACACTAAATGACTGAAGTGCTGCATTTTGTTATGGAGTTTAAACAAACTTGAGAAGACAGAGCTGGTACATTGGAAGAACTGTTAACTCTTTTCTTAAGATTTCGTGAAGCTTGAGGAAGACTACCCAAGTCATCATCATACATAATGATGATCACGTTAGAATCACATTTAGATTTCACACATTAGAAAGGAGTATCATGGTACCCATCCCTAATATAGCTAATTGTATTTGGAAGAACAATTACCAAAATTTTAAATAAAAAATAAACAATCTGTCCAGCTTGAATCCAGCTTATCAAACTTAACTACTAGTCCTTACACCACGTAAAGTTTTCATTCATCTTGTCCAGAGTAAAGTGTAGAGCCATATTATCAATTCATAGGTGTTTAACATGAAAATTAAGTGCCAACTGATGAATTTTAATAGCATTCAAAAACCATATCACAAGACCTGGACAGAGAAACAGTTCTCACAGGATATCATATTTTGGGAGTAAAACAAAATAAATAAATGCAACTCATTCCTCCATAGTACCCTAGTTCTAGATAAATACTAGGTGATAGAACCAGGGAACATTTTAAAAGCAAGTTAAAAATAGTTTTACCAAATCAAAACAATGAAAGAAAAGAGGAAAAAAAAACTTACTAATTCGTCTTTTTTTCTGAATCCCGTAAAGCACAGTACCAAGTTCAACATACTCGCACAGTACAGTGGACGACATGAGAAAGGTAAAGGCTGAAACAAAAGTAGTTGGTTTATTAGCAAAAAGATTGCAGTTTCCAATAGGGTTTTAACCTTTCTAATACAGCCCTATTGTTTCCAGTATGAAAATGTATTATACATTAGTTCAAGCCTCTGTATTCAGTTTACAATTTACCTTCAGACTTGCCAAATTCTGATAAAGTAACCAAAGCAACGTAATTTCCCAAGGAGAGTGCTACATCCTTTTTTTCCCCCCCTCAATCCACTTCCTTCTAAGCAAGGTCCTTAGAAAATACAAAGTGCCTGCTAGACCATCACTTGCATGCTGCCTCCCATAATGACATAAAATCCCAACTTTGGAGGTCAATAACTTTCACAGCTACTGCAGCAATAGTGCTTACTGTACAGTCTTACCACTGTCTGCATGGCCTCTCTCACTCAATACTTCACAGTACCATAAAGTGATATTAGAAATCTGCTTTCCACAAAATTCTCTTTCCAAAGAGAATTTTCCTCACACGTGCGGGTGGCAAAGCACAAAGATTGTGCTTTGAACACCTAACATTGAGAACTCACTGTATGAGAGAGCTGCTCAGCTGATTTGACCAAAAGCCCATACCTCTCCTTTCTGTGCACAGTGCAGTACTACTGGAGGTCCAACAACCCGGCAATCTGCTTTGTAGAGGTTGTTAAACATAGAATCTTGGAAGTCTGCTACAACAAACACCGTCTCAAATTCTGGGGAATCAGAATCTCCAAGTTCTTCTATTGAGTCCATCTTCATGTAGGGCATTTTGATTTCCTTGATTTAGAGGTTGGGAAAGGAAGAGATGCATCATTCAAGCAACATACTTGAAGTAGTATCACATTCAACTTTATTTTGGACCATTAAAGGGAACAAAAAGCAGCAAAGGAAAAAAAAGATAAATGCAAAGACAGTTAAGATTTCACTGGCAGACTCATAAGATATATTTGTCAAAGCTAGATGAGTTATAGAATCTTAACGTATGGAATCATTCTGTAGTGTAAGAACAGCTATGAACAGTACCTAAAAAAATTCGTAAAATAATTCTTATTTTTGAAAGACAAGGATTGTAGTAGTTTTAGTAGATAAAAATCAGTTCACACTGGCAGTTGAGTACTGGCAAAAATCCATACACTTAAGGTAAGGGAGAACCTTAAGTAAGCACACATACTTAATGAAATTTCTCTCTCTAGATTGTCAGAGCAGCTTCAGGTACTCTAAGATGCTGATATCAACTGCATCTTAATATAGAGAGCTTGCAGAAGCAAGTTTCATGCTGTCTAAGACCTAAAATACCAAAGTCATTTATTCTTGCTGTTTCAAAAGGGCTTAAAAATAGTTTGTCTGTTCCAATTTCAATCTTCACTTAAACTTATTTTCTAGGTTTTTCACATCAACAAACAGATAACCACGTCCCACACTTAATTTCAAATGCAATTCTCAGCTGAAACAGAGAGGTCAATTAACCAATTAAGAAGTCCATTCATAGCAAAACTAATGAAAGTGTTGATTTAATATAAGCACGCATTTGAATGACTTCTTTGATCTTTCTATTCCCTTCTTAGAAAGGCTGCTAATTAAGAGATGAAGATATTAACTCCACAGTTGAGTGTTTAACAAAGAGAGAATGCCAATTTTGATGTGAGCTTCAAATGTCACCATCAGAAACATTAGCTTATTTTGTGACCACTATGCCCCGTTAATAGAAAATAAATATATCTGCACATTCCAGTCCCAGTGAAGTGCAACATGCTGCATGCAATCACGTGTGCTTAATTGCATGACATACCATATGAATAATACTTTTTATTAGTTTTTCTTCTGATTTACCAGGACTAGTTTCCTTTATCTTTATAACTGGAACTTCCATTATCTTAATGGTCTGTGGAAGAGGAAAACTTTAGTACAAAAATCAGCAAGTTACCAAGACAGTCTAGAACTCTATTATCTCATTACAGTGATTTTTTCTTATCTTAGACCTACATACCTCCAAGGCTTTCAGAAGCTCTTCACGCTTCCCTGCTTCCTGAACCAGGACCACTCTTGTTTCTATCTGAGGCATTTCTTCTGTTCAGACAGAAAAAAGATAATATTCATATTTAAAAAGAAAAAACATTTTAGCTCTAAGTCAAGCAAAATATGTAAAGATACCTTTTCTCTAAATCAGGAAAAAAAATGGATCTTAAAAATAAGTGTTTCCTTAATATACATTGGCATATATTTTCTCCCTTTATTTATATAGCTTTCAAAAGTGCAGAGAAAGGAAAAAGTGTTGCCTCCATAGCCTACACTCCACAAAAGGGCCAGAGGATTTTTGGAACAGGCCACACAGGGTAGTGGTGCAATCACTGTCCCTGGCCGTGGTCGATGAACAAGTAGATGAGACACTTAGGGACATGGTTTAGCAGTCATGATGGGTTTATGGTTGGACTTGATGATCTTGAAGGTCTTGTCAAACAACAATGATTCTATGATTCTACTGCATTACAAGCAAATAGAAATACTTTAGTTGTCTTACACACAATTCTGTGGTTAAAAAAAAAAACACTTCAGTAGCTTAGACAAAATATCTACAAAGTGACTGCAAACATATGATAGTTTTAAAACTGACTTCTCCTTTTACCTTCAACATCTGAAATAGGTGCAGGAAATATATTCTCTTTTGAATTCTCTATAATTTTTGAATCTAGAACGGAAGAATCAGCCAAGAGACTCCTCCCGGTTTCAGACATCAGTGTGCTGTTGTCAGACATGATTAATTCTCAAGTTTCTCTCTTCAGCACCTAGAACATGGATGCAGTAAGTTAAGTGTCATCTGCAGAAGAGCTCATTAATAAGAGTCCTGTGAATAAGACAACCAGAAACAACTTTAAACTGGAGAGGAGAAAGAGGAGAGAAAAAGACTCTTACTAAAAGAAGTAAGAGTGATCATCATTCCCACTGATGAAACAGCTCTGAAAGAATACTGAGAAGAAGCCTCTTACTGAAATGTTTTAGGCAGGCTTCCTGCTGCAAAGAGAATGTACTTGAACTGAGCAGTTGGGAAGCAAGGATTCTAGAGTTCACAAAAAAAAAAAAAAAACCCTCATCGTAAAACACTGAAAAGGTGAAATCACTTCCTTGCTTCAGTATTAAGCCATTACAACCACAATATAAGACAAAAACAAGCACTGTTCATCTAGAACATTAGAGAAATTATGGCACAAAGAACCTTGCTAAAAATTTCACTTTTTAGGTGAACTGAGCACAATTAACTTTGGTTTGACATTACAGTCAAGAAAAAGGAATCCCAGGGAATATAAGAAGCAGACCTTAAACACAGAAATATGAAGTTCCTCAAGAGCAATGAGAGTCCCTTGAATGCACTGGAGTTATGGACTAAGGGAGTTAAAAGCAGATATACAGGAGACTACAATAGATTGTGTGCTTACACCTATGTTAACTATAACACAAAAGTACCACCTATTCGTCACCAGATAAAGAGGTTCTGTGTTCTCACAGGCAGAATACAGCTCTGCCTTTCTTGCTCATCAAAGGAAAAATAAAACTGCTGCACACCGGAAAATCTTAAGTACCTGTACAAAATATGAGAGGTTATGGGAATCTTGTAGCAGATTTGTTCCAAGACACCTGTCCAGAATATATTGCATTCTCCTCCATGCATCCATAAATATGCGTTTCCTGTGACTAAGCCATGCGAATTTAAATATTTGCACAGCGATAGCAATAACTGGAATAACCTCTGGTAAGCTGTAGGAAAACAATTCTTGTATTTCTTTGGCAAAAGAAGCTCTTAAGACTGTAAATGCCCCTTCAAAAGCTCGTTCCCAACATAATACACTAAAGCATTGTCTGAAAGAGGCAGTAAAATCCCAAGACAAGAGCATCCAATATTCTTTAAGTGTTGTAAGGCATGTCCAATTAGGTAGGAAAGTTAGATAAGAGCACTAAAAACTGAGAGCTTTACTATGACAGCAATATAGAAAAAAAATCTCATCCAAAAAAGGTCTTTAGGGAATCACCTGTCTAGGTATGACAATATCTTATGAAGATACCATCACGTGCATAATCTTGAAAGATTCTGCATCATCAGTTATTATTACAAGACAGCCAGCTTTACGTAAAATTAGACATAAAAACAAGAAGAGCTCCAGTTAAGGGTGTAACTAAATTAAAATCATACAAGCTCTTAACAGATTAAAAAAAAGGCCCATCACAAAAAGAACATGGATATGATTCCCATCACGCAGCCACTGTTCCATCCAGTAACACGCACATGTGAGCTTGCAGTTTCAGGGAACCACAGAGCATATCAGAAAAAAAGCCTATACTGCTTTTTGCATGCAGAATTTTCATGGGGTTTTTTTGTTTTGATTTATGCAGCACCCAGTTGCAGTGGTCACATCCACCGCATTGCGGCGGTCCCAGATTACATACCGACATAAAGCTACTAGCCGCTGGACTCAAGACATTGACAATTTCAGGAAGTGGAAGAGAAAGAAGAGAACACACAGAAAACTCCTCCAGCCCACCAACGCACGACACCCCAGTCGCTCAGGGAGCACCCAAAGGTTTTCCAGAACACCCACATTCACATGCACTTATAAGCAAGGAGGCAACACCAGCCTTTCCCTGCCGCTGGTTTCCCTCTGAGGAGACACCCAGTAGGGCAAGCAGGCGGCTGTGGTGTGGCGAGGAGGCTGGATGAGACGCGGCCGCTGCTGCAGGGCGGTGAGCGCGGCAGGTGCAGGAGAGGCCGCGGGCGGCCGGCGAGGCCCGGGGTGGAGCCGGGCACCACAGCCCGCGTCCTCCTCCAAGGGAGCAGGCCTCCTCCACGGGCACTCCCGCCCCCCTCAGCCCCGCGCCAAGCCCGCCCGGCCCCGGCGTCGCCCGCCCGGCCCCGCGCACCTCACCCACCACACAGACGATCTCCGCCATGAGCGGCCACCGACACCAATTCAAAAAGCGAGCCGGCCCACTAAGGCCTCCGCCCATTGGCTGCCCGCCGCCGCCCCGGTGTAAACCGCCTCCTCATTCGCCTTCACGCCTAGATGTCCCGCCCCCCTCTCCGAGTTCTTTTTGGCAGGCGCTTCTGCCCATGCCCTCGCGGATTGGCAGCTGCGCTTGCCGCTCACAGCGAGGCGGCTTCCCATTGGCGGGCGGCAGTGCGTTTGGGCCTTGTTGTGGTGCGGGGGAGCAGGTTGCTCGAGGGCGGGGCTGTGCTCTGATTGGTCGCTGGGGGTTTCGAACGTTTCCAACGGCCGCGGCGCAGGGGCCCGGATGGAGGGAGGGGGGAGCGGCCGCTGTGGGGCGGGCGGCGCTATGGGGCCGCTATGGGGAGCGGAGACCCGGGACGCCCGGAACGGCTCCGTCACGGCAGCGGCGGCCTCCGGGGCAGCGCGGAGGCGGCCGTTAACGGCCGCTCTGTGTGAAGGGCCCCAGTTAACGCCCAAATAGCGTGCTCGTCAGGGCTGGGGCGGCATGTGAAGGGGGTAATGAAACCCTTAGTCACGGCCAGAATGATTGTTTGTGTTTATTCATGATACGCCTTACCGATTTCAATATATTATGCCAAGCCTTGGAATAATTAATTAAAGGCAAACAACGGGGGAAGGAGCAGATGCGTGAGAATGCAGCAGGTTGAGATGAAAGGCAGCCAGCTGACTCAACAGCAGCAACGCCCCAAACAAATCAGTTAGGCCAAATGCTTTCCCTGTTCGCTTTAATTTTATCCAACATTAACATTCACTTTTTGGCCTGGAAAGGAATGCCCTTGTGGGTGCTCTGAAGTGTCATTTAATGTAATGCCTCGCTGGATCAATGTAAAAGGAGTATGAGTGCTGTAAAGGGAAATTTTGCACCATATCATATGCTAAATTCTTACATGCCAAATTAAGTTCTTGGGTATTACTGATTTTTTTTTTTTCATTGCAGATTTTTTATTAGTTCACATAGTTTCATTACTGATCCAGCACAGGTGCTTAGTGTCAGTAAGAATCCACTGATTTTTCATGGTTTGTAAGAAAAACAGAAATGGAGCATCTAGATGAAAATCAAGAAATGTCATCAAGATGACAGTTGATGCAGTTTATGTGAGCAAAGGTTTGCTTGGTGAGCTATGTGTAAATCAGGATTGCTTTCCTGAGGAAAAGATTGATGAATCAAGCCTGGAAATCAAGGAGGTCATTTCAGTTCCAACACTTGCATCAGCCAATTATTACACAGTCATACAAATACTGCTCAGTAATTGTAGCAGTGACAAGCAAAGCAGAACTTTCTGCCCAACAATCACTGGCTTTTTCCTGTCCTCCTTTTCAGTTGCAAATTCATGAGGTACTTGTCACATCCTGCACTAAAGAACACATTTCTTCTAGGTTTGGAAAGTTATTCTGCTTTAATGGAATCCATGTTTATTCTGCATTGTAGGTTCTGGAAAAGAAATGGGTGATTGTACCTAAAATTAAGAACCTCTAAAGAGCCACATAAAATGTTCTACCTGCAAAGAGCTGCATGTTTTACAGGTGAAAGGGATGCTAAGGTTTAATATGTGGTATGTGCATCACTTCTGTTAAAAGGTTTAAATAGACTGTAAGCTACATATTTTTTTCAGTATAGAAACAATATAGTCTTGCTATGCATATGAAAGGTAGCGGGGCATTAGCCTTTTTTGGGGAGAATGTATTTTAAAAAGTAGAATTACAGTCTCATTAAACTACTAGGTTGTTCTGATAAAACACAACTTAAGCTATCCTTTCAGAGACTGAAAAAACAGCCACATTTTAAGTAGCAATCACTTACGAAAATTGCACTTATTTCCTCAAAAAAAAAAACCCTCAACAACAAAAAATTGCTAATCTTTATACACCTAACATTTAAAAATCTTAATGCTTTTTAAAAAGTCTCAGAAATCCACCTTTTTTTTTTTGCCGTTCTTGTGTAAAATACAACACGCAGACAAAACTCGCCATACTAGGTGAGTAGAAGCAGTTACCTGAATACAAGTAGCACATGAATACAACATGTATTTAATAGCTAAATAGCTGCTTCTTGCATTAAAAGGCACAGAGGAAAAAATCCAGGAGATGAATAAATCATTATATGAATCTTACCACATCATCATCATCATCATCATCATCATCATGGGAGCCACATTAGGAAAGCTTAAGAACCCAGCAGAGGCCTGAGGAGAACCTGGGTGCCCTACATGGTCTCTTGAAGTTGGTGCTCTAGCAACTGTCTCATTTTTTTGGCTTCTGGATATGAGTTTACATAGGTAGACAATCCACTGGATATTTTGCAAGCAGTTCAGTTCTGGGGTTTGTTTTTAAGTTATATTTATCTAATAAAAAATGTGTACTATGTCCTTGGAGAAAAAAAAAGCCTCAAAGAACAACTGGTTCCATTTAGGCAGAGCAGAGCAGTAGTTTTCAAGACGGCAAGGGGAAGAGAGATCAGGTTCTAAATATGGGTATGTGGGGGGATCAGCAAGAACATGAGGATCTTCAGAAAAAAATCATCCACCCTTTGGCTTCTATTTTCCTGCATTTGTTCTCTCCCTCCTCTAAGCATCCCCACTCAGCAGACATTGTAGAAAATAAAAGAAATAGATGGGAGAGAAGGTTCAATTTATTACACTCAAGGATCCTGGAAATAGAGTTCAGGCTGCAGATGCTTGGGAAAGCGAGAAGAAGGGAGTTTGCCTGGGAGGAGGACACAAGATAAAAGGGGCAAGTGGGAGCACAAAGTATTACAGAAAAGAAGGGCGCAATATAGAAAGCTTGAGACCTTGTGAATGTCATCTTGTCCTGCTTTCTTGGCAAAGCTCAGTTCCTAACAACCATTTCACATCCGCAGTTTGCTCAGTATCTTTTGGTGAAAAGCAACTGTAGAAATTCAGCCTGCAGTTGTTACAGGTAAGATTTTAAGGTTAAGATGTCTGGGACATCTCTTTCCTCAAAAGTTCCAGACACGTTCTTCTGTTGCCTTTGCAATCAGTGATGTTTTACTTCAGTTCCAGTAAGGCTGACTTAAAAGCTGACCTTTCACTCCTCCTGAACTTACTTTTCTTTTATTACCATTTCTTGACAATTTTAAAAGGAAGCTGGTCGTTCCAGGACTCTATTTAAATTTTGTTGCGACTTTTCAATATGACAAACTAGTTTTCAAAAACAAGGTTTTTCTTAAAAGTAGTCTTCATTCTTTTATTTGTACTAGATTAATAATCCATCTGTATGTAGCTATTTAAATATCTGAATTTGCTAGTTAGGTCTGTGACTGCACATATTAAGTGACCATATCATTTGTGCCCAGACTGAACACACTAATATTTGTAATGTTTCCTGCATGATGCAAAGAGAAGAAAGTGCTTATGAAAAAAAGGAACTATTTAGGATTTTTTGTTTTAGATATGAGAAATCTTCCTTCTTTGTAACAAAATTTGTGTTACTGAGCTAAGGGGAAAAAATCCAATGCAAAAACCAATCCTACAGTGGGGATCAGTGAGCACTGGGGGTCTGGAGATCACCTGGGCCAAGCCCCCCTGCTCCAAGAGGGCCACCCAGAGCACGTAGGTTGCCCAGGGCCACGTCCAGATGGGCCATGAGGATCTCCAAGGATGGAGACCCCTCAACCTGGCTGCCAGCGCGTGGTCCCTCACGCCAGGGAGCAGTGTCCTGGTGTTGCGAGTGGCCGTTCCTGCCTGTGGGTGCGTGTCCATCACCTCCAGCCCCGCGCAGGCCCCTGAGCCGCCCCGGGCCCCTCGCTCACGGCAGCCAGAGCGGCACGCGGATGCTTCGCCCAGTCGGGCCGGGCAGCGGCCGGAGCCGATGGCAGTGGCCGGAGCCGATGGCGGCGGCAGCCGGGCCGGCAGCGCGGGCCTAGGCCCGGGCGGGGAGCCGGGACCCCCCCTCGGCGCTCCCCGGGGCAGGCGGAGCGGCGGCTGCGCGGGCACGGAGGCGGCGCGCAGATAAGGCCGCTGCCACCCCGCTGCTCGCCGAGGGAAGGAGGGCGGTCAGGAGGGAGGGAAGCGCCGGCATTTCCTCCGCGGCAGCCCGGCCCCGCCGTCATGAGGGCCACCTGGGTGCTGCTGCTCACGGCGGGGGCCGCCTTGGCCGCCTACTACGTGTACCTGCCGCTGCCGGGCAGCGTGTCGCAGCCCTGGAAGCTCATGCTGCTGGACGCCACCTTCCGCGCCGTGCAGCAGGCGGTAAGGGGGCTCCCGGCGGACGCGCTCCGCTTCCCGAGCCCGCGGCCGGGACGGGGGGACGATGGCGGTGCCGGCGGCGCCGGGGGGAACACGCTGCCTCTGGCCACGCTGCTCTCGTGTGCTCCGGCTGCGGGGCTCGGCGCGGGGCTGTGCTCAGCTCTGCCGCCTGCCCGAGCGGCGCCTTCTCCGGGAGCAGACCGGGGACCGCAGGAATTTCCTGATGGTAACTGCCCTTAGCCAGGGAGCTTTTATTTTCCGCTAGGATGGACTGATCTCCTGCAAGGACTCATAAGACGTCTTTAGGCCTGGCTAACTATTATCTATGTTGAAGTACTAAAAAGGAAAAATAAATGCGCTTTTTCCAGCATTTCACTTGCACTCTGAAACATACATGTGTATTTTAAAAGTGCACTTTGTGTGGTTGAGCCTCTTGGCAGATTCCAGGAGGAGTCAGGTGAATCCTTGGCCCACAATGGGTACTACAGGGCTGAGTGAGGATATGTGAGTGAGGATATAGCCGCTTATGTCCCTAAAGCAGTAACTGGAGGTGTGGGGAAGCACCAGGAGGCTGGACACCGTCCTGAATAGCTCCTCGGTGCAGGTAGGCCGGGCACAGGGCTGGACAGGCCATGGGAGCTGCCGGGACACGTCCTCACAGCCGAACGTGCCACCGAGTCACTCGGGAGTGACGGAACACACCCGGGCGCTTCCAGGGAAGGCACCGTGGGCTTGTCAGGAAAGCCATGCAAGGGTGACCATGGAAGCTTCACTCTCAAATAGAAATTACAGCTTGACATTCACGTGCTGCTAATGAAAGTAGCTGGACTGCAAGCTCCCACCTCATCCAAACTCATTGATAGAATGGCCGTAAGGGCTGTGATGGGTACCCAGGATGCTGCTTGCAAAACTTGCTAATATTTCACCCAGGAACACCTGAAACAAGCCCATAACCTCTAGCTGAAGGAGATCTATCTTTAGAAAATCATATGACCGTGACTCCATATATGTATGGTGCTGCTGGCTTGTGTGCACGTTCTGTTGATCGATGGGCTACGTGAGGGCACAGTCAGATGAACACTGGTGTCTTTGGAGCTTTGGAGGCTGGCGGATATCCCAGGATCTTCACTAGAGATCATAATCCCCGGATTAGTTAGCAGAGCAGGGCTCACCTTTGTGGCGGTTTGAGCTAATCCGGCCAGCTCTGCACATCATTCCCAGTTCCGTGGGGCTGGGAAAGCATCAGCTCAGCGGGAAGCGGGGGGTTCTAGTAGTCTGCAAGTCTGGCTTTAGAAATCAGCTTGCATAATGAGGACAGATAGCAACCACGGAGCAGTCCCTGCCATGTGTACTTTAGAGGAAGGCACAAGTGAGCATTACACGGAACCAGGAAACCGAGCAGGGTGTGAGAGGTGTCCCGAAGCACGGAAGAGGTGAGCCCTGGGGCGCTGCTTTCAGGAGACACACATATTCAGGAGTCTTTCCACCACTTTGAGGTAGCGCAAAGCCTGGAATAAACGTGTGCCGCGAGGAGGGAACCGGCTGAACTGCAGCTAGGACTGTCCAACAAGCTGGAGGACCTAGATTGTTAGAAAGCTTCTGTGTGTGCATGTGTTTAAATACACATAAATAAAGAGGACATAATAAGGTGTATGTCCTCTTGTAGAGCTAAGCTTCCCCTTTTTTTTCCAACTGTCTATCGCAACACCAGATGGTTCAGCATTTCTTTAAATGTGACCACTGAACTTTCCCCTACTTCTAGATATATTTTCAGCGTGCTATTTATTCCTTTCCTTTGCAGGTGTGATTGCAGACAGAAGACATATTTCTAAGTATTTTTATTTTAAAATCTCTGGTGTTTACTGTAACCTTGCCTTCTAAGATTGTGAAACAAACTTGAAATGCCTCATGTACAATTAAGCGGCTCTTGCTTATTCAGAAATAAGTATGCAGAGATATGGGCTGTTAAGCATTGCACTTTTGTGTGAATATATATTTACAGCAGGGATAATGTGTGATAATTTGTTTATTTTCTCAGTATACTAATTAGTCACTACCAATATAATATACTAAGGCTGTCTCTGTCCCAGTCAATTGCAAACTATTTGACAAGCTTGGAACTCAGGGCTCTGACTCAGGGCAAGATAAGTGTTTTAGGTGTAATTATATGATTAAAAATACATAACTCCTATGGGAGGCTTTCTGTTAGTAAACTTGAAACATATGACAAAAGGGGACTGCAATTAAGCTGCTAATCTTACGGGGAGAGGAGGGGGGGAGGGAAGAGATGAAGAGATAAAATATCTTATTTGAGGTCACATAAAATAGAAGATAATTTAGTTTGGAACTGCACATATACACATGCGGCACAGAACTTGAATTCGATGAAATTTGGGCAGAATAAACTCCTCAGGATTATAAAACTACAGGTTAAACCATAGGTATTGTTTTACTTTGTGTCCCTGTCAACGAGTATCTGAAGAAATAACTGTACAGCTAAGAGCAGGGCTACGCAGGCATTTTTCCATCTTTGTCTAACCTCTCCACTATCCAGCGTCACAGGATAGAGGACAGCATATATTCATTTAATGAGCCCTTCGAAATGGGCTCTTTCAGAACACGGCCATCCCCATACTTTTCCCGTACTTTTATTCTGATGCTTGGGAAGGGCGGGCTGATTTTTGGAACTAGGACACCTGCTACTGAGGATAGGGAAGGGTCATCAGGTAGGCTTATATGGAAGAAGTTGGGCAGTTGTATCGAGCACAAAAGTATCCTTGTATTTCTCCTCATCAGCAAAGCAAGTCCTTCCTGCCTCCCTGCTACTCGTTTCCTTTTGGAATTAAATCTAGGGCATGTGGCATTAGCAGTCAGGGCCAGGGAAAACAGTAATTAGTGCTGTGTCTAATATTTTAATATCTAGTCTATTTGTCCATCATTTTTTAGGGTGTGTGACTGCTAGACAGTGTAAATTATAGTCAGCCAAGTTGTCCATATTTTTGCATACAAAAACAGTCTTTGAATTGGCTTACATTAATCCTCTATAAACTATTAGGTGTGGCAGTAAATCTCACTGAAGTGGCACCTACGCAGAAAATGAGTTTCACTTCTCGCCTTATTTACAATAGAGACAAAAATTATTAGTTACGTAATAGAAAAACTCATCGTGGATGAAAAGATGTTCAAAACTCCAGATGTAATCCTTTTTTTTTTTTTTTGCTTCTAACTAATAAGCACTTTGTAAAATACAGTCTTTTGTTAGTTCAAAAAGAAATTAATGAAGCTTAGTGCACTTGTCTTGAGTGCTGGAGCAATATCTTTATAACACAGCGTGGAAAAGCTCATTTTAACATATTCTATACCATGCAGTAAGACAGCTGCATTAAGAAATAGTACCATAAAGTAGAGATTCACCTTTCAGCTTGAAAAACTATTTGAAATGCAGTCAAAACAAAATATTCTGCCTGCAACTAAATGGGGAAATGATCCTGTTTGGTTTTAGTCAGTCCTTATTCTTGAAAAGATACCGTAGTTGGCATTTGGGGCTGTGATGTTACACAAATGCACCCTGCAGAATGCTGCAGACCTGGCGACAGCGGCACTCGGGGTACCCGCATCTTCTTTTACGGGGCTAGTTTCAGAGGTTCCGGCCGTTTGAGTCCCGCGTGGGCCTGTGTGCGCCAGGCAGCAGGAATTCTGCGACTAAAGGTCACACATATGGGAAGCAGGGCGGTGTATGGGGCAGGATAGCACCCGCTGCCCTGGTCACATGAGGACAGACGCCCAAATGTTCCGAGTGCTGCTAGATATGAATAGAAATCAGCCACAGAAATGAAATTACAGACTGAGTAGAGGTTAAAGCTGCATTACCTGGCTGAGTACAAGTCTGCGTAGGAGGTAAGGAGTGGTGAGCATTCAGCATTCCTTATGTAATCTCCATCTGAGGAGCTGATACAAGATTCCTGATAATCAATGTGTCCCTGAACTAAAAGTGGTCACACTGGCCTCACTCCTCTGGCTGATCATCTTCTGCCTGTGTCCGGCAGCCCCTGCTGCTGCTCCCTGCTCAGCCGAGCCCGTCAGCCTGTTACTGACCACACTTCCCTCGAGATCTCCCTTTGGAAAGCAAAAGTACAGTCCTTCAGACTGATGCAGAAAAATGCAGCTGTCACAAGAGATTGACCCAAACTAAACTCTTACTTTCCATCTGTGGCTAGCAGAGGATTTTTTGGGTGAAGTGTGGACAGGATTTTCATCTTTATACTATCTCCTCCTTTCTTTTTTTTTTTCCTTCTCCCTGTGTATTGGTCTTCTTTTTCTGCAGTGCCTTAACTTCATAACTTCCCCCTTTTCCGCGTGTTTCCTCTTCCTTTCACTGTCTTTTATTATTACAGTGTGGTCTCTTTACCACAGATGATCACTCTTTCCATCTCCAGCACACACACTTATATAAAATATCATTCATATACATTCTATGTTTCATAGCCTGCAACAGTCCTGTATTGAGTCACAGGAAGAAAAGAAAAATCATAGAAAATCATGACTACCTGCAAAGATGAAAGCAGCTGCTGCTCACATGTCATTTCTGAATCCAGCCCAGCTGCAGGCTGCTCCCACCAAGGATAACCCCATTCTTTTTCCCTGCTCCCTCTTCCCGACCTTGAGTCACCAGCAGCTCAGTAAGCTGCCTGAGCTTTGTTTTTCTGTGTTTTCGCTGGGTTCCTACTCAGCTGAAGTTTGTTCTTCTGTGATTTTGATGAGCTCATCCCCAGCTGACTCACAGAGCTGCTGCTCCAAGGCTTCATGTGCACTAGAGGCAGCAGCAGAAAGGTGTCAGGGAAGCAAAGTCAACAGTGGAGGTCACGCAGACCCGTCCTGGTGGCAAAGCCATCTAGATGAGCTTAGGACAACCATGCAACACATCCTCTGCTGCCAGGAGCCAGATAACAGGGCACAACTGTGACTTGGCTTCCAAAGCCTTTGGCCCAGACTGGCTGTTGGCCTGCAGAAAGTGAAATCCTGCTGCCTGATAAATAGCGAGATACACAGATTAGATTCCAGAGAAACCAACTGATAGGTGCTTGGCAGAAAAACTGCCTGGATCTGTTCCTCCTGCACCCTGTGTACAAGATATTTCTTCCTAGGTGTCTTGTGATTCCTGGAAAAGGTGACATTGAACCACCCTTTTCATCCTTGGAAAAAGGTGGTCCATTATGGGGAGGAAAAAAGCGTGTGATAAGGTTGCAGATGGTCGCATTGCTGTCATGTTTAAAAAACAGGGCAAAACACGTCTTGGTAAACAACAGTAACTAGCCTTGAAACCAAAACATTTCTGATTGCAGGGAATGTGTGGTAATCCTGTCCACACAGACTGGAAACTAATGTGGGAGAAAACTTAAAAGGGAATGGCTGTTGCAAAACAGTTGGCCTGAACAATCTCTCAAAACCATTGTTTTTCCTGGCAGAATTTCTGCAATTGAATCAAAATGGTTATCTTCCCTGAGAAGCTCCCAAGGACATCCAAAGGAGCAGATCTTTAGCTGGGTCATTTGGTTGCAATCTAATAGATTCAGTGCCAAACCATTAACAGATGTATTGCTCTTCAGTTTTTAGAAAGTTGGGGCATTTCTTTTTACACATCTTTGCTTCTCTGCTAATATGAAAAGTTTGAGAATCTCCAGTTCAAGTTTGAAAGCTTGAACTGAGTTTTCCTATGGAAATTTTTAAGGAACGATGGGAGAAAAGCATGATCTGAAATACAAAATTACACACTGCCTTGAGAATTCATCATTTCTTGGTGCGGGCTGGATACTTTCTGCATTTTTTTTTTTATGGGGAAAGACCTTGCAGGAGGAAGAAATGGTATTTAATCTGTAAAGTAGCAAGCATTTTAGAACTTTGATTCCCACCAGACTATCTCAACAGGGCAACATTACCACAAGCTGTGCAGAAAGGAGTCACTTTTGTGAATTCCCCTTGTTCTGGAAGTGCATTCCCCTCCCACTCGCATGCATTTTTTTATACAGCACTTTACTGAAAACAAATGTTTCATTTTTTTTACAAATTATTACAGATTAGAGTACTGCATGTGAGAAACTAAGGAGTTGTTCCTGGTGTGGCTGTTGCAGGATGTGAGTTAACAGAGCGCTTCAAAATTTGCTTGTGCAGGTCCAGCTATGGCAGCTCCCTGCTCTCTGCAATGTGGGTGCAACCAGAGCAGTCCCCCCTGTCCGCTGCCTCGCTTAATTCCTGCTACCAGCACTGCACTGCAATAGCAACAGTTTATTTTGCATTGCAGCTCCATTGCCTTGACCCAGAAAGTTGCACAGAAGGCTTAGCTGGTTGCCCAATTTCTAGCCTGCCTTGGCAGGATTAACTTTGAGGTTAACTTTGCGAATGGGGAAGAAAACCCTTCTTTTTAAATGGCCTTTCTCAGCACTGCAGTGTGATCATATTTTTATTTTTTAAATCTGATCAGCACAAGGGGATAAAGTATTTGGAGCTTTTTAAACATTACTAACACCTTGCAGTCATTGCTGCCTTGAGGAAAGTGCTACTCTAATCAGTTTAGATTAAAGTAAATGGAGGCAGGACCCAGAATAAGTGAGTTTGTATGCTAGGATCTTGTGACAATGGCTCTGCATCGCTGCCCTCTACTGGAAACTTCCGAAGAGTTTCCAAAGTCCGATGGTAGAAAGCTCCTGGTGATGGTCCTCTCCTTCCAGAGGTGTCTTTCCAGAGGAAAGATCCGAATTCTCCTTCAGACTTGTCTTGATCCACCTAATGCCTGTGATTTGATTCCATATGACAACAGGGAATCTTTATGGACACAGTTTTGATATAACACAACTTTAAAAGCTCTAGAGATCTTCAGTAATCATTTTCTGGTGACCACTCTAAGAACCCCTATTCCTTTTTCTACCAACACCATCTTTTGAAAACTGTTCCATTAAACATCAATGCAGCGTCACACAGTCTGCTCTGAAGTAACAAAACCCTTTTTCATTTCTCCTAGTGCCACCTGATTCACTACCTGAGGCTCAGCCATCACTTGATAGTTCTGAACTATGTGATTGGTACTTTTGACAAGCTGAAGTCCGTGTCTTCGGAGCGCATTTCCATCACGGATGCTGTTTTTGATGGCGTGGAAGTCAGGGTGTTTGAACCTCCTGCAAAGCAAGATGAGACACTGAAGCGCAGCGTTGTTTATATCCACGGAGGAGGCTGGGCCTTGGCAAGTGCAAGTACGTGTCTGCCTGTAATTAAATTGAATTCAGCTCTCTTTTCTTCGCAGCAGGAGAAATCAAAAGCTGCTTTCCCTGCTAGGGATGGCAACTTTGCTTAGACATATCTGCATGCAGGAGTAACTGCATCCGCTCTTGTAGATCAAATGCAAGAAGGGAGGGGAAAAAAATCACAGCACACAGTAGAAATGCTTATCTCCTCAGGATGTGAGCTGTAAAGGAGCAAAAGCTTATTTTCATTATATCCTCAAAGGACATATAGCTTATTGTTTAAATTGCTGGGACTCTTGGATGAGTGTGCCAGTCCCTGTTACCTACAACAAGTGCTATGGTAGTGTGCAAAGATTGTCCTTGGTGATGAGGAACCAGGGACAAGTTAACCCCATTTTCACATAATAATTCCCAGAAGAATGTGCTGAAATTGCTCAGAATTGCATGTGTCAGCATTGCTAATGTGCAGCTCCTAACACTTACCTGGGGACACATGCTGCTAAGTACGGAATATATGGGCAGCATGATGAAGGAAGCTCCTAGAGGTGGGTACCAGTCACTCTGTCTGGCTCCCCTCAGGAACCACTCCAGGCACCTGCAGAAATCAACCTGGAAAAGAGAATTATGACAGAATTAATTTGGGAGCCACAAACATAATCAGAGAGAGTAATTTATAGCTATAGAAAATACGATAGTCATTGATTCTTCCACATTGTATAGAATGAGGAAAGTCTTGGTGAAAGGAAGGGTATGTAGTTCTCCTGCTTCCTCAAGATCACAGTCAAATAGGAGACGTTCCCCTCTGCCTTCCAAGCTGCTCCTGACACATCATGAAGCCAGTGCAGCACACATGTATTCTGAAAGATCTGCAGCCTCATCTATAAAGAATATTCTGAAATATTTCAACAACAAAATCTCTATTGACTGCAGTTGGACTATGCATGTATAAGTCTCTTAGAAAATAAATACCTTTAAAATCTGTCTTTCAAGTGGTTTTGGGAATCCCAGTCTCTCTGTCCTGTAGTTGCGGAAAAGCAATTAGAAATATTGCTTGTCACTCTCTTCCTTCAGAGAAATTAAGATTGGGGTTCAAGATGGATTTTCTTAGACGTATCTAAGGGTTGCTTGTTAAAATTCTGCCCTTTATAAATTTCATTTGCCCTGTAATAATCCGCAGAAGACTGTAGCTCTGCAAAAAGTTTTCATTGTTGTGCTTTTGTGGATGACTGTAACTCAGCAATGTCAGACATTAGGATAATGTCCAAGTTAACAGTTCCAAGATACAAAAGTTAATGGCACAAGCCTTACTGCTAAATAATAAATTCTGAGGCTATAGATACATTAGAAAATGCTTTATGCTATACTGTATTTGATAGTACCAGGAAACAATGATTAAATAACTGGAAAGGAATAAAATTACAGAAAATCAGTGCCCGGATAAATAGGATAACAGTGATTAATTTTCCCTTAAATGAGTAGTTCAATTGACGTTAATAGGGCAACTCATTTGATTCAAAGCAATTTTGAGCCCAAAGTATATGCTTTAATAAAATGAACAACACACAGTGACTCATACAATAGGAGTGCCTGGATACTAATGCCTCCAGGCCACTGGGTAGCTTAAGTTTAGCCTAAGTGAGAGAACTGCAATATGTGGATGAAATGATAAGCTCCAAGTCGCTGAGAAACAAATGAGAAAGAAAGTATTAAGGCTGTAGGACTTCTGGACTTCTCAAGGCATGAATTATTGTTTCTTCTGCTAGAACATGTATTTGGAACTCAATTGCAAGCTGGCCTCATTTACTTTGCTTATATTAGTATGATGTATTTATATTTTCTGAGACTCTTTTCCTGTAGCTTTGTGAATTACTGACATAAATGGACTCATATGTCACTAATGCTATGTCATTTCATTCCAGGAACAAGTCTTTATAACAACCTCTGCAGAATTATGGCCGAGTCTCTCAATGCTGTAGTTGTCTCAGTTGAGTGAGTAATTTAACATTGATAAGTAATTTTAAGGAATTTAGCTGTAATTTAACTCTTTTGGTTATTTGCCAATTATTAGCCATTTGGTTGCTTTGGAAAACATTTTTCTTTATCAATATGGTACTTTTATCCTTTTAAAATGATAACAAATTAAAACTGTATCAAAAGCTAACTTGGATTTCTAATTATTGTAAAGCTTCTTTCAGAAGGCAGACGTGTGGAAACGGGAGTAGAACTCTAATCATCTGGACAAATATTAAAATGCAAATCCTAGTGCATCTTGCAAATGTGGCTACCTAAAAGGAGTGCAGCTAAATCCTGAAATGACTCAAATGACCTAAGTTATGATTCTGTAAATACTTATCAACCTAAGAAACAAAATACATACCCAAAAGAAGGCTGAGTTACATCTGTCTTCATCTCCCCAAGCATCAAGAGGGCCATTTACCCTCCTCAGTGGCCAACTCCCACTGCTGCAAGATGTATTAAATATAAAATACTGCAAGTTTTTCTATAAAGCAGTTTCTAAGTCATACTGAGAAAGGGTCTGCAACATAAAAACTAGCAAGTGATTTTAGCATTGCTCTTAGCCAATATATGCAGTGGAGTCTAGTAGTTTCCCACTGTTCTCTCAGTCACACACTGTTCCAATGAATTTAACCTGTGTAATTTAATTTAACCCATGTACTCTACTCAAGAGCAGGAAACAAGAGGTGCCAGACAGTAAAGAAACAGAATTGCTTTTCTGACTAGCTAAACAATTCCAAGGTTAAATGAATAGATAAATAAATAAACTCTTCCTAGCTACCTAATGACATTACCTGGTTCGCCCCAATGTGATTGATACTTTTCTCATCCTTAATTGTCAGCTTTAATATTTTAATTCACAGACGCAATCACTTGATACAGCAACTCAAGTTTCCTACTTATGGCTGATTACATACCAAGTTCTGTGATCAAATTGTAACTTAATTATATGGAGTTGATGTTACCACTGCAAAATTAATTCTAGAATACTTTAAGGGGTGTTTTTTTTTTTTTTTTTTTTTTACTACTTTGGTATTTATCAGTAGAAACAATAAAAAGTAAAAAACAGATGTTGGCCATTTCAGACAAGCAGTGATCGCAATATTGGAAAGTTCCTTATTATTCCTTTTTCTTGTTTATGGCAGTGTAATACCACTATTATTTTCAGAGCTGTTATTGTTTGTCTCTTCTCCTTTGCCATTATGTCTCTCAATCAAGGATGTTGTACTCAATTAGTGAAGTCTAATTTGATTTCTCATAGGTTTAATTGTACATCTCATTTCATGATCTATACACAATCTGTTACGTATTTTTGCAAGAAGTTCCCAAAGGCCTGTCTCATATTCTCTTGGGGCTACAGCTGTACATAGATTGCTTGCTGAAAACAGGACAGAGTAAGACTTTGAAACATTTGTTAGCTAAGTTTGAAATTTCTTTTGCATATGTGATGCTGTTGGCTTAGATTTCGAAAGATAAAATAATTTGAACCAGAAAGCTGGCTTTTGTTTTGCCTCAGGAGTAATGGGAAGCAAAACATTTCTGACAAAAACTTTCTTCATTTGAAATGAGAAACATTAACTTGTGTAAAGATTTGCTTTCTGTCAAGTTGACAATAAAAACTATTTTGTCAAAATATTCTTAATCAGCCCCACTGAAAATGTATAAAGTCCACTAAGAATATAAAAAGCCACAAACAGAAGTGTGCTTGACATCATTTTGCCCAGTAACAATTCCTCTGTTATGTACGATTTAGTAAATACAAACTGACTTGTCCCACACTGTTATTTAGACACTGAGGAAGCCCAGTGAGTGGGACTGTTCTTTTACCTATCTGTGCCTCAGTTTCCCCACCTCTGAACTAGGTGTATTTTTGCTTGATTCCTTGATAAAGAGTAGAGTTATTGAATGTGTTTTGTTAAGGCAAACGGGTAATTACTTCAGTTCCTGGCTTTTGTTCCTTCCCTGGTATATGGACATATGCTCAACCTCTACTGAGAATACATTCAATTTGGGCAACACAGAACTGTCTCATTTGAATCTGTTGGGCAGATATAACTTACTCTCCCACATGCTGGTTAAGGTGGGGATTTGGGGCTGAAAACAACTGACTACAATGACTGCTTTGCCAGAGGTATTTTAAATATTCTTTTCTTTTATATAAACAACATGATGAAATCCTGTACTGGGAAATCCTAGGAGAGTGCTGCACAATTTTATGTTATCTCAGTGTTATTCCTGTCTAGTTGGTTAGTATTCATTTTTCTGAATTAGAATATTGATTACAAGATTACGTCTCACATTGGTATACACATCTCATATTTTTCCTGTAGCATTTATCCTAATGAAATAGTTATTAGCTGACGAACTATATATCAGATAACTATTATCTATCAGATAGATATGAACCTGATAGAGAGGTATATTCATTGTAATGATTGTCTCTCACATCTTTTCTTCCGTAGATACAGGCTGGTACCAGAGGTGTGCTTCCCGGAGCAATTCCATGATGCTCTTCGTGCTACCAGGCATTTTTTGCATCCTGACGTCTTAGCTGAATATTCGGTTGACCCCAGTCGTGTTGCAATTTCTGGCGACAGCGCCGGAGGGAATCTGGCTGCTGCAGTGTGTCAGCAGGTAACAGGCAGTGTCTCACACACACTCACTGCGGCGCTTGCAGCACAGAGGCTGACAGGGCGTTTGTGCTGCATCATCACAAGGTGACGTGCCAACTTGAGACAAAATTGTAATGCTCGCTATGGAAAGCCAGCATCTAGGTATTTACAAAGGAAGATGAGTCAATTATATATGAATCAAAGAGCTTTGCAGTGTCTTACTGCATTTATGAATTGTTGTGGGCCAAATTTTAAGTGCAAAGCTAAAAGCCTTTTCCTTTTTATCCTATTTGTTGGTGAATACTGTATTTTCCTGAATAGATACCTGGATAAATAGCACCTAGATGCATAATTTATCAATTTATTTTCCTATTTTGCAGGTACTTGTCTTAAAATTATGTTCTTATTTCTTTCAAATACAAATGAAGGATAAAAAACATATAATAAATGAAGCCAACTCTTCTGTTAAATTGCCTTCCTATAACATTTTGAATTTTAAGGAAAGTCCTTTCATGTTTAAATGTAATCTCAATTTAATCTAGTAAAGATCGGAAAGGCAGCCTGGGGCAAGTAATAATATTTTCATGCTTGAGTGAAATACTATTATAAGCTTTTTCATATCATCATTAACCATTGGTGATAAGAAAGCTGATATCATGTGCAGGCAACTAATTATCATGACAACCTTGCAATATTGAATTAGGGTGAAAAAATTAATAAGGGACAATTACACTAAAGGCTTTAGTCTTGACGACTGATAAACATAATAGAAACGTGTTTTGAAAACCTGCGTTCCTGATTTCTTTGTCTGATGCATAATATTTGAATCAGTGATATAGGATTGCTTCAGGGAAAGATTAAATAAGCTAAGAATCTTCAACCTGAAAGAAAGACAAAGTTGGGTGTGATAGAGCTAGAAATCTAGAAGAGAAGAGAAACAAGGTTCATAATGGCTATCACTTCGGTACAAAAAAAAAAAACAGGTTGCATGTATTTTGACCAAAAGAGCAACATCTGACAATTGAGTTGTATTAGAGCAGAATTTGGCCTGAAATATGTAAAATGGTTGCTTGCATAAAGATCAAGGTTGATACTGTAATGCTGATTTTCTAATAATCTCAATTCTGGCCTATATTCTTCCTGCAGCTTAGCAAAGAGGAGCATTTGACCGTCAGACCGAAACTGCAGGCCTTAATTTATCCAGTCCTTCAGGCATTTGACTTCAACACACCTTCGTACCAGCAGAACATGAACATGCCTGTTCTGCCTCGTTACGTCATGATAAACTACTGGATAGACTATTTCAATGGTAACTATGACTTGGCTCACTCGCTGGTGATCAACAACCACACTGCTCTTGACGTCAGCCAAGCTCTGTCTTTCAGAGGGCGCTTGAACTGGACATCTCTGCTGCCTTCCTCATTCAAAAAGAACTACAAGCCTGTAATACAAACTACAGGCAAGGCTGAAATCATCCAGAAGTTACCAGCACTGCTCGACGTACGAGCAGTCCCACTGCTAGCAGAAAATGAAATTTTGCAGCTACAACCAAAGACCTACATCCTGACTTGTGAGAATGATGTCCTGAGAGATGATGGGGTGATGTACGCAAAGCGGCTAGAGAATGCGGGCGTGGAAGTCACACTCGACCACTTTGATGACTGCTTTCATGGCTGTATGATATTCACCATTTGGCCTACTGATTTCTCCGCAGGAGTTCAGACCAGAAACAGCTATATAAAATGGCTGGATGAAAACCTCTGAGGAGAGAGTCTCTCCAGAAGACCCAGGGTGTGCTGCTCATGTCCACTGTTGCAAGAGAACGAACAACGACAAAGTGCACTTTTCTAAATTCTGACTTTATCCATTCAGCTGCAGTTACAGGGGGTTACAGACCACTAGCTACAACATTCACTAGCTTATTGGCCTTTCCAGGCAAAGTATTTTGTGAAGTACTTTTCAAACTTCTGGTTTTTTGCCTTTTTTTTTCCCTTCAGATGACACAAGCTATTGCCAAACGAACAAATGTTGAGCAAGGAGATCAGCATTCCTGAAATATTCTTAACTGGCCGAGTTAAAGCACAAAGTTTGTGGCACAAAGGCCATGATTTTCAAATGCTGTGATATAAAGCCAAACACCCACATCCACATTTGGATATGTAAAAATAAGAACTGAACTTCAGCAGTGTTGATTATTTGGATGTTTAACATGGGTTTCAGTGTCGTTTTTTAGGCACAAAGAGAATTTTAAATTCAAAAAAAAAAGAAAGAAGTTCTCAGGCAGTTAAGATGATAGACAGGTAGACAGGTCTCTTAGCCAAATATGTGACCAGCTTTGGTCTTTGGTCTTCATTACCTTTTGGTTATTTATATTTTAAATAAGCACAGGACTAATATATTTTCCAAAACCATATTATAGCATACATAGGTCTGAAGTATTATGTATGCATATAGTATGAAGTATTGTGTGTAGCGGTGAACTCAGGTTGCTTTTGGGATCTTCAAAGCTGACCACTTATTTGGCTAATGATTGTGACTTTGTTTAAAACATTAGTTTCATGGCCTCCTTAGAGAAAATACTGAGTGTACTAAAAATAATCTGCTGTGTGGGTTGCACTAATGTTTGTAATTAATATTAGAAGTTTTTGTTCACTGGCTTTTTTCTGTGTTCATAGTGTTTAGTTCATTATATTTCATGCTTCCCGGAAGGAAGGAAGGAAGGAAGGAAGGAAGGAAGGAAGGAAGGAAGGAAGGAAGGAAGGAAGGAAGGAAGGAAGGAAGGAAGGAAACAGAGGTGGGCTATAGTGTATAACCTGAACTTCTCAGCTACACCATGTCTCTTGTAGAGTGAAACTAAATGCTAGGTAAGGTGACCTGGCTATTCTGCAGCAAATCCTTGCAGTTTGAGCCAGTCTCTCAAACTCACACAAGCAGGACAGGGAAGCGAAACCACTTACGACAGGATACCCTGTCCAGGAAGTTTAGTGCGTGCAGAGATGAGGGTCTTGCCAAAAGCCACGTGTTTGTAGGCAAAGCTGAAAGAATGGCAGTCCCATGGCTAAGCGAGGAGATTCAGCTCGCCCTGGGCTTTGCCACAGGCTTCCTGCAAGACCCCAGGAAAATGGTGTAATCTCCATGTGCCTCGCTTTCTTCTTCTGCAAGAGAGGGGGCAGATACTTCCTACCTCACAAGGAGTTGTGAAGAGAAATGCACAGACTTTAATGAAGCACACTGGTATTGCGGCAGCTGGCAGGCACTGGACAGGTCCCTTAGCCTCTGACTTTTCATCATCTTTTAATATCTGGCTCAGCATAGCTTGCCCCTTGACAGATGGTGCTGTTACACTGCTTGTTCTCTTAGGATGTTAATTAATTTCTGGGATGGCTCGTCTGAGAGGACACTATGGTAGTGTTTTTTTGGTTGTCATAATAACCAAAAGAAAGGCAGTTCCCTTGGGGTATTTCCTGTGGCCAGGTTCTAGAAAACCTTTTCAAAAAGCACCGGTAGATCTAACTGGCTTCTGTAAGTCCACTCTCACTGGTAGACAGATAAGCAAATGACTTTGCTGAACCACTGCTTCATAGACACACTAGGATTGTATACATTAAGAAGGGGCACTACAATGAGGGGCAAGGCCTCATTGTAGACCCACTTGTGCTCATTCAAACTATTTTCTGAGCATGGCTTCACATGGAGGTCACAAGCTACAGCTTTGCCACCACTGGCCCTGATTCTTCTTCCATTCAGATCATTACAAAGACTCAGTGGGATTAGATCAACTGGATGACAATTTAAATCAGAACAAGTTTGGGCCAAGATATCCAAATAGCCTATACTGTAGAATTATTTAGACTTTTTTGTGTATTTAAAACCTCTTTCTTCCCTGCACATTCAGTAGATAAAATTCGCACCTAAAACACCAACCGAAGTTATGTCCTTTCAAAAAGCAGATTGCCGTTCTTAAAATGTGGTCTGCTCCAAGGCCCGTATTGCATGGGAGCAATTCCTTTTTCCTGACTTTGACTTCTAGGGTCAAAAATTATTCTGAGTTGTAACAACAGGTTTCCTATTGGTTCTCCACTTAAAGGATAGGCCAACATCAAAAAAAAAAAAAAAAAAGTGTAATTTATATGCACCTGCAGTCATTAAAAGATAGTAGTAATTGTACTACCGGGGAAGAAAAACCCAACTGGTTAATATTGCTATAAATTCTGTATTAATGAGATTTTCCTTAGATCTGCCTGCAAAGCTTTAAATCAGCATTTGTTTATGGCGAAGTTATAAATATCTGTTATGAAACTATAATATAATTACTGCTGTGGGGGTTTTTTTAAGTGAAATGCAATGGAGAGGTAGAATATATATCCCAGTGGTGGCTGTAAATTTCTTTCATGCACTGAAGCACATTAAAGTCTTGGCACAAGGAGCGGCAGTAAGTCTATAACTGGATCGAATGTCTATACTAAGTCATCACCAGCTTGAAGTGACACTCAAGATGGCAGCACAACTTGGATGAGAAGCTGCAGTACAAACTCCTTCATCAAAATGTCCAGACTACTTCTATCAGGTAGCTATATGGTTTAAGCACATGATAGCTGGGAAGATGTGTGATACAGCCTGTAAAATACGCACAGAAAACTGAGTTACAGCTATAGAAAGATCTTGTTCTATGTAACAGCAAAAGACACTTAAAATTCAGTGTAAACCTTTAAGTAAATCCTAGTCCTATTCTCATGGTTACTCCTTTTCCGTGTTCTTTTGTGCACACGGTCCCAGTGACCCAAGTTCAAAGTTTATCATTATTTTTCAGCTGAACTGCTGGAAGCTCCCAGAAATGAAGTGCTGACTCGACTGATAGCTCAATTTGGCCTGCCAGGCCTTGTTCCACAAATCCGATATCTGCCAGGAAGAGATTAGGATTAATGCATGTTACAATACCTCAATTAGCTCTTTTCCTTTTTTTAAATGGTTCTCATCTGAGCAAAGTTCCCCATGCTCTGATCTATGGGCCTATGTAGCACCTGCATTCCTCGATGATCTCCAAAAGGCGAGCAGGGCACTCACTGTAGCATCAGCTCTAATATCTGTAGCAAAAAGTGGATGTTGACCATAAAAAGAGGTCTTCTAGAAGAAGAAACTCAATAATTCATCTCCTCATTTTTGGTTAAATCAGTAAATATGGGAGCTACAGTTTACTGATAGCTTTTTCTTCCTATTCCTAAGATCAGACTTCATCCATCCAGCAAAAATATCTTGCTGACCTTGAAAGCAAATAAATAAAAGTTAATTTGGATAACAGAACCAATAGTCACTTGAATCCTGCTTTCACAGATCTGGAGACTACTTTAGCACTTTTGCGGTGCCTTGGCCAACATTGGCTTAAAAAAATGGGGATTTTGTTTATCTAGCTTAGAAACTCTTTAAGGATGGGCATTCATCATCTGTGGAACTTCAGACCACTTTAAAGGTGTTTCATGGTGCATAAAATACCAATTATCACTTGAAATGTCTAGCCTTCAGCTATGTAGTTGCAAAATTATATCCCTAGCTAAAGCTGAATGGCTACTGTAGGTTTTAAGACCTACAAACTAAACAGAAAAGCTTTACCTTTGAAAAAAAAATTGTTTTGTAGTGTTCGGGTGTCTTTATTTTTTTCTCATTAGGTACATTGTGGCTAAACTTTTTATCTCTTAGTAAAGTTTATTAGAAACTTATTCCAATTTAAAAAAAAAAAGAATAATCTAGTTTAAACCTTTTAAGATGCTATGATATGCGAGTAATGACGCTGTTAAAATCCCAGCTGGTTTAATGTTCTCTTATTTATGAAGACGTCAAGAACCCGAAGTGCAACATACTTCCATGGATGCATTCAGCATCTTACACACGGCTGCTTTTTACTTCTTTCCCAACGCGGGTGAAAGATCTTGTCAGGTCAAATGAGCAAGTGTTATTTAAGCGTGCTATACAAAATGAAGAACAAATAAATAAAATGAAATATATCTGTGAGCTCATTTTTTCCAGGACTATTTTTTCTTTCCTTAGATGTGCAATGTGGTGTTTTCCAAGCTGAAGTGGATTTTTCACTTTCCGGAGTCTGGAGACTTCACACTGACTCCAGAGCCCTCACAGTTTCTAAAGAAATGCTAAATCAAAGACTAAGTGTTTGTTTTCAAAGCAGGAAAACTTGCTTGCAAAGTCATTAGTAGGATGGCTTCTCTTATATAATCTGTCAAATTACTTCTGCTCTTGTCAGCTAATGGCCCATAAACACAGCAGTCTTGTTCCCTCCCTCAAGACAGACAGCAGATCTTCAGCTCTCCCCTCTATAAAGTGAGTGTGTTTGTTTGTTCAGCATGTTCAGAGGTTTTTCTCAGTGAAGTTTTAGATGTTTGAAACTCTGTTTGCCTTTTCATTCACATGCATCCTCCCCAGCACCTGCCAGTTCTATTAGATGAATATGCAGCACAGCTTAATTTGAGCATTGACAACAGGCCATAAATAAGAAACACCTGGAAAAAAAAAAAAAAAGGCCTATAATAGGAAGTTCACATTGTCCTGAAGCATTTCAGTCTAAAATCCTGGCCGCAGGTATTTGGGTATTTGTAGGCTTAGAATTTGGAAGTTAATTAAATCCTTCCCCATCCCAGGACAGGCATGCACTTTTCTGCTTGCTTTTAGTTCTGTTCTCTTCTGGCATTAGATTCTCTCTCATAAAAGATGTTTAAATAGCAGACACCACATCATTAACCTCTCTTAAAACTAAGTTTCACTCCTAACGTAAGTTGTGTAAATTTAATAATTTTTCACTGTGATTTCCTGCAGTGTTTCAATGTGTTTGTCAGCTCTTCAGCAAGAAGACAGGGAAAAAGAAGACAAAGAGCAAAACCCTACAGTAGATTCCCTAGAACTGTTTTTATTGGAGCTTACATTTTTAATAGCTCTTTCTGGCTTTGTCTAAACAGCAGAAAGTTAAGTATTTCCATCATAACCACTTGTCTTTTCCTAAGCATGACTTCTACAAACCACAGCACTTCCAAACAAGACAGTCCAGGGATACAGGAGAAGCAAGGTTTGGTTGGCCAGAAAGACAATATTTTATATTGAAAGTTTTAAAATAGCAATAATATTTATTTGGGGGAAATAGAAAATTACCTTGCCTGCAAACACTGTGTCCATATGTGCAATATACTCAGTGCAATTGATTTGGGGGCTTCAGAACCAGATGAAGGGCAAAAAGAAAAGAGGGAATTTTTTACCACTTACCCAGTAATTGTATTGGAAGGGCATTTTGGTTGCAGGCTTTTAGTTAAAAAAAAAAACGTACAAAACTGCCAGCAGAGGGAGCATTTAAAACAAAGGCAAACTTGGAAAAAGAGCCAGTTTCTGCAGGACAACATTAAACCGAAAGCCTAAAGGAGCACTCTGTGTTTATCTGGGGCAGCCCAGGCCCTGACTCAAGAAATGCTGGCAGGCCAAGGCATAACAACGCTCGCTAATCTGAGACTAGCCAGAGGTTTCCTGCGGGAAAGGAAATGCAATAACAGACACGGATTTTCAGTCGCAATTTTGCTGGCACGTCCCAGAG